AGGTATCAGGAAGTAGAAGAATCGGGAAAAGGCTTCGCCCACTTCAAGAGAAGCCCACGAAAGTTCTTGATCTTACCAGCCTCAGGTGCAGTAATGTATTGAGTTTCACGAGAATCGAAATCGCGCGCTGTTCAAGCGGGGCAACTATTTCTCGACGTTCCCCGCTATAACACAGTCCTTGATGATTTTATAGATTCCCTTCTTTGACTATAGAACAGCGAGGGTAAGGTGGACCCGGATAACTTGGTGAATTGGATCATCTTTGGCAACACATCTGGTGAAACCACGAAATCCATCAAGGTCACTTATCAGGCAGGCTCTGAAGAAAATGACAGATTTTGAGTCACCTTATGACTCCGGTCAAAGTTTTATTAGAAATACAATTGAAATGCCCCAAGAAAACCGCCATATCAAATGAAAGGACTGGACGTGATTTGTCGTGACAGCCTCACCCATCTGCGGCTTCACCGAGCGTCACCTGACCAAGACAGGTCGTTCACCGAGGTCTGCCCGCCGAGGGGCTCGCTCTTCCGAGCGTGTGCCATGGCGACCAGTATACATATCTCTTGCTTCTCATTAAATGATGCTCTCTATTCCAATATTGATGAGCATAGCGTGACCAGGTGGTAAACCTTTCGTCAGACTCATCAGCTAGGTAGGGCGTTGAAGCTTCTTTTGGCGACGCCGGAGATTCTTCTTCCGACTTCTCTCAAGCAGCAACTCCATATGGTCAGAGAATGATGCATGTGCTTCGTCCAACTCTTCGTCTTTCAAGATTGGTTCACAAGGACCAGCCCTGCGATCGTGGAACACACACCAGACTAAATAAGCAAGATTATCAAGCACCAACAAGGAAGAGAGCCTCTGAGGATTCCGACTGCGGAAAGATGGACTACATAGGAGGGGTTGAAAGAATGCAAACATCCATTCAGCCATGTGACGGGATGCAGTGACCAGTAGACTTGCCTGCCCATCTCTGTGAAGCTTGAGGCGCTTGACGTCGATCATGCCATCCAATCCAAGATAGAGCACCTTGATTTGCTTGAGATTCGGAGAGTTGTCAAGCACTGCAGCGATCCTAGTCATGATCGAGTTCTGTCGAACAGATATAACTGGGTCTGGACAAGTGCTCGGTCGAATCAAAACAATTTCGCGTAGATGCCGTCTGTTGTCTGGGCCAATGTTGTGTAGCCAGACGAGAAGCGTCTCTTCTTCCGGAACTCTGAAGGTTCGAGAATAGATGATGCCACGTGCTTCAGACAAAACTTTCTTGCAAGTACGAAGCATCGATAGGCTGACCTCGGACCGATAATAGCGAGGTCTGGTCCTTCCCTGCCGCAACGAGAAGACCTTTCGTTTCGAGGGTATACCTATAGAGACGAACCTGCGTACGATATAGATCTGGCTTGGAGAGGCTAGAACAAGCATGTAAATGATGTTTCGAATCTCTCCGGGCAGGTGTCTTTTGCATTTCAGTATTAGCGATGTTGGCAACCAGTTATACAAAAGCTCGATCTGCAAAACTCACAGAAAGGACAAGCGTTTCGACTCAGGGCCGCCATAATGTGCAGTCTATCCGGCATGTCAGTCAAGCTCGGCAATTTTTGAATATTGGGGAAGAACTCAAACAGACCCCGTCTGGTAGAGTGGTTGAACTGACCTGGCTGTCCCGTTGCTGGCCTCCCCCACTCGAAGCTGAGACGACCGAGGACGAGGCCATATCGGCGGAGGTTGAGGAAATGACCTGCAAATTTGTTATCTGAATATTGTTTTGGAAAGTCAGGTGGCATTTTAAGGGAAAGTATTAGGATATTGTTGCTTACTTGTACGGCTTGATGCTTGTAGTGCTGCATCAAACTGGGGGCTTTGGATGGCAGATTCTTCCTGGGTAGTAGTGGCTTGCGGCTTTGATATAAAGGACAAGTCCACCACCGTTGACCTGCTCCCTTAAAAGTCTTTGAGACTCAAGAAAGTTCTCTCTGCTTCTCTTCCTCTTTTATAGCGATCTTGCGACACGTTTCAACAGGAGCAAGAAAAAGAAGTGTGTGGGACTGTATCAGTTTAAGCTACGGGCTTTGTTCAAAAAATCAGTCTGGTCCAAGACGACTTTAAAACAGACAAAGCCCTCATGACTCTAGCTACCTGATCCTCAGCGTGTGGCAACACCTCCCCTTTTCACAGTCCGCTGGCTTCCTTGAGGCTATGCTAGTAAGGTCTTCAAGTGCGGCGACTTGCTGCTGGTAATTATGAATCTTCTTCAAGTTCGATACCTCAGACGAGATTCGAGGTTTCTCCTCAGAAGCAGCCTCAGATGCTCTATAGCCTCCTCTTCAGCCTGTCTTGCCTCTTTGGCGTTGAGTTTCTGCGGGCTCGATGCGTGCCTATAACACCACCAGTTATTCCGGCTGACTTGCAAGGCATGGCAAAGCCTTTCCGGACTATGGCCACGGGATAGACCTTTGGTGAACACCGGCCGGAAATCATGGTACAATACCTCCGCAACCCGGCGCGCGATCCCAATCCAGCCAGAAACAGGCCCAAGTCGCTTGAGAGTTGCCCTTTGAGCCGGACCACCAATCATATGATGGTAAAAGAATTGCATCCGCAGAGTCTGGAGATTTTCGGCAGCAGCCAACATCCTCGCAGCCCTACGACACAATTCACGATAACGGTTCTGCTGAGTCCTGGATGTGCTTGAAGATGGTGACGGCAACCATAGCTGAGGCTCGGTCTGAAGCACAATGGCTCGTAGGCAGACGATGTTGGTCCCCAAGTCTTTAAGCCAAACTACGAGTGTCTCCATGTCTTGCACATCAAAGTAGTTGGCGTAGAGCAACGCGCGCGCTTCGGCATGGACCTGCTTGCAGGTCCCCAGAAAGGCAACCGGTATGGACTCAGTTGTTCTCCGTGAATCATGGTGTCGCACATCCTTGCGCTTCCATCGGAATCTGGAACGGCCACAAGTGTAGCCATAGATCACCTTCGCGGTGATCGTGACGGTAGAACGGGTGAAAGCGATACTGTATATCTTGTTTCGTAATTCTGGTGGAAGCCGTCTTTTGTTTATAACGAAGTTAGTGCTATTCTTGAGTTCGCAGTTGTTTGAATGGAATCTGAACTCACAGCAACGGCGACTCCTCTTCCTTGGGCACTTCAGTTCTTAGTCTCTGTGACCGCTGTCAGTTCAAGTTTGATACAGCCGCGTTTGGGTGAACGAAGATCCATCACCTTTGGGTATGGCTGCTGGGGAGAACCGGGAGAAGATTCGCAACGTTGTCGCTTGTTGGACCGACTCTTGGAGTAACCAGATGACTGTTCAGCTTCCTTCGGTTCTGCGAGAACATCAGGCATGCTAAGATATTGTCAGTTCTCTATCACAGAGTCTCATAGAGATAAGCCTACTTCAGAGACATGACAGCTGTAATCAATGCGGGGTCTGGTTTGGAGTGCATGATTATCGTACTTGTCCGCTGACAGAGCCGTGTTGACAATTCCAAAATCAAATGTTGCAAAAGCCTGATGGCGATTGATTGTGAGATGACTCAATGAGGCGCAGGAAAAAGGTCTGAACGAGGACCAGTGTCTCAGATTCCATTTTAAGACTCTACAGACTGGTAAGAGTCTGCTTCAACTCAAAGCAATCGCGAGACATTTCTACCACCTGCTAGATATGAAGGATGTCTTAATTTGAATCTAGGATTCCCTGGCAGGAGTGGCCCGTTGTATGAGTTCTTCCAAAGCTGCCTTTGAGTAGCTCGCCCGCATGACCAAGCCCGAAAAGCCTTTGAAAACCCTTGTGTGAAAAGACGTTGGCGGGCGTAGCTGAAGAACTCTGGCCTTGAACAACGGCAACAAGAGTCTAGAGTTAGTCTTGGCATTCGGACTTATTGCTTCTACGTTACAAGAGCTCAGCAATGGGTCCGATGGCCTGAGCTAAGCACATCTTCTTCGAAGGGGCCAAAAAGTCCTAGTAAAAACAATTGAAAACCCCGACAGAGCATCCTAAAGTTATCCCTCTACATACGTTTTCATCCGAAATAGTTGAGACTTCTAGACCCGGATATAACCGGGAATGTCGCCAATCCTCTCGTTGAAAGAATTGCAAATGAGTACTCTTGCTCGCCAAATGGAATTCAAGATCGCCTAATTACGAGGACATGTGGGGAGCGATGGACATGAGGTGCTAATTCGCCGTACAGATGCTCCATCGTTGTGACGACTCTGTTGACAAAGCTGGCACTTCAAGGCCTGGACTTCTTCCTATGACTCGAGAAATCAGCCGGTATCAAGCTTCACGACTCTGTGAGACTTCACAAATGCGGCGGGGGCAGTCCGAACGGCCTGACCCGTCCGACTTTCTGCAGTGGATTCTGCAGCGGGCACTTCCATCTTAAAGGCGCCCGCAATAGGCCCACCCGAACCCATATTTTAGGGAATGATTCGCGGTACCCAGTTCGATCAAGTGTCCTCAAGACTCTGTCAAGTCCTATTTATGTCATCAGACTTGACCCTTTAGACTTTTCAGTGCTTTCCAAGGCTCTCGAGTCGTCTTGGAGCTTAAAGATCCGGCCCCTCGTTTTCGCTGTCTTATCTTCCCGTCTCCCTTCTCAGATGTACAAGTACATATCGGAATCACACCGAAAGTCCTGTCAGCTGGCGATCTTTCCAGCAGGCCAACGAGTCAGCCAGTCTATGAGACTTCTGACAGCCCTCAACTCATATTCGAGCCTCTCAGAGCAGGGCATCGCTGCTTTATTCGGACATATACCCACATGGATTTGCGTGCGATGACTTCCCCGGGGTCCACGTATGCAGCTGTCAGCCAGTTGGTTGGAGACGCGTGAATGGCATCCTCCAAGGGCTGAGATCTTGGCAACTCCATTGTATTCGTACTTGGCCTCACTTGTACGAGATGCTATATCACAAAATGTTGAGGTCACAAGCAGATCGAATTTTACGTTCCCCATGCGTTCAAGCAATGAATGCCCTGGCTGAATCCGTCAAGGCCCCGTTTTGACCTTTTGCGCAATGCCGATGATATCCTCCTCTGCCTTGCGTTTGTCACGACTTCCCTCTTCTAGAATCTCCACTTCAGGTTCCGCCCTTTTACCCTCAACGAAATCCCTCATTGTCAAAGGGCTGTATTCCAATACGGCCACGTGTTGCTCCTCTTGACAACCTTCCACGTCGCCCACGCGTTGGCAGCAGCTCCATCTAAAGCCCTCTGAAACATCAGCTCGAGATTCTTCGCTGTCCATTTCGTAAAACTGTCCCATGTCGTCGATCGTTTCCCAGACCTCTAGATCTTCGTCCAATTCAAAATCTCCTATACGCACGTCAGCGTAATGTCCTTTCGTTACTCGCCAAGCACGTGCGGTCACACGAAGCTTTACATTCCCCGCTCATTCCGGATACGGTATTGACTGTGGAATTCCATCATACTGACCAGGGTGGTAACGACATGCATCAGGAGCGTTCCTGTTGACATCAAACTTCTCCTTAAAGTTGGCGCAGACATCCGTTCTTGGCATCTTCTGCAACAGGTCAACGGCTCGCCGGCGGACCCGCTCATCCTCCCTGCAGAGTGCGAACAATACTTTTCGAGCATCGGTGCCCGAAACGGCTTCCAACATGGCCGCCGTTTCCCGATTCGGGGCGGCGGTCTGTTCGGCTCGCTGTCTTACTCGATCAACCATTGATTTCTTGGTTGCCGTTGGCGTGTCGCGCCGATAGATTGATGTTTTCTTCGGGCCGGGCAAAAAGTGTTTTGCGATATCGGACTTGAACGGGGGTAGATTGGTGTTTAGCTTGGTACTTTTACTTTGTACACCAGTCCCTTTAGTCGAGTAGGCAAGTAGAGCAAAGTAGTTGGAATTAGTAGTCGAGTATCTCCGAGTAGGAGCGGAAATGTGAGATCTGAAATATGAGTACCTTAACCGAATTCCAAGCAACTTGCTCGACGTTACAGATGGACCGCAAGCTTTGCCTTTCGTAGACATTCGAGAGGCTTCTACGTTCTCAATTAGCTGCCTACACTCCAGAACTGCCATCTAGACCGCGCCCACTTAGTGTACGCGTAGAGTCCCACAACTAGTGTACTCCCCCAACCCGGAATGACGGGGATGCAAACCAGTTTCCAAAAGGGTTCACCGGGGTCATTTTCCTCCTTTTAGGGATCATGTTCATTCTTGTCAATCAGAATTGAACGGCCGGGGGTGTTTCACTCAACTCCCACATACACCCGTTTCTTTTACCCGTACACTACCCGTCTTCCCCCCGGTGCCCCCCCCCTCCCCAGCATCCCGTAGATCAGGGTTTGCCGGGGAATCTCGGATGGTCAGGGTCATCCCTGCTCGCCAGGTGGCCTCATTGGATTCCTCGCACACAGAGCCCTGCTGTGGCACCGCAAGCTTACGGCTCTCCAGTCTCTAGAGTTCAGAGTACAGGGCATTTACCCATGACCCCAGGGGCGGTCCAGCGGCTGGTTAGCTGACGAAAGGCAAGTAGCCTGTAGGTGGTGCGTCTTGTGTCCCCCAAGAGCCACACACACACACTCTCTCTCAACCCTCTCTGGAGTTTGGTCCGGGTTTTGGGGGACATATTTCCTGTGCGACCACCGGGTGCGAGCCTACTGGTTCATTCGGTCTGGCGTCTGTACTCCGTACTTGCGTTGCTGGCTGGCAAGCTTCATATTTCCTGGAGCGGGATCGCTAGGCCGCTTCTGGTGTCCCTTGCAGATTCAAGCGCTTGCTGCAGATGATATCGGACCGCTCTGGGCAGGACGCTTCTGGTTCGTCTCACCACCGTATCGTTGTCGTCGTCGGCGAACCATGCGAATTCCGCCACCGCCAGTCCCATGAGGCGAAAATGCGAGCCATCTCGATCCTGGGAATGCCGCCTTAGTTGGGCAGCGCGTGTTTTCCTCACCTCATCAATGATCAGTACATGTTACGGATGATTTTGAAATTTGGCTCGTGAAAAAGGGAAGTCTGGTAAATTGGATCGCTGGCAAACCTGGGCTCGCCCCGTTCGTCTTTCTAGATCGATGTTCTCTCTGTGTCGGGGGCTATCTTCACCCCGTTCTTTTTGCTGCCCCCGTTCTCCCCCCCAGTGTTCTTCACATCATTGATTCTTCCACCACTGAAATACATTTGATATGCTCTTACGCTCTGCCTCCATTATTCGTGACCTCTTTGATGTGCGAGGATATCCTCATGCTAGGCAATGAAATGCCAGCCTGGCCAATATGTCAGGCACAAAGTGGCTGGTTGGGCAAAAAAGCTGCCCCCCAAAAGTATAGTAGTGTCGCCCCCTCCAAATTTCTTGCCTGACCAATTTCAATGTTGCTTGCTCGCTTCATCCATCAAATGTCTTGTTGTATCAAACTTGCCAAAATGCTATGCCTCCCCCTTCCCCCAAGGAAAATGCTTTGCTTCGCTCCGCTCCGCTCCGGTTTTTTAGAAGTTGTGCCCGATTGCCGCTTTGACTCCCTTCCAGTCTGTTCACAGCCCTGCCAGCACCTTAAAAAAATCCATCTCAATCTCGCGTGGCCTTGTCGACCGGTTGACCGACCACCATCGGTCGGGAGGCCGGGAGCCCATCCGATTGACCGAAACCGTAAAAATTTCCTTGACCGGTCTACCAAAACCAGTCTCGTCCGAAAGGCCGAAAGGAGGGGAACCATGGAAGCGAGTTCGTTTCTGACATGGACCATAAACATGCCCTTAAAATAATAAACAATCCAAGAAAACCTTTTTCGAACGTCATTGCTCTTGGTGGTGGTGATGATGATGCGTTGTCGTCGTCGTCGTTGCCGTTGCCGTTCTCACAGTCATGGTTGCCGTCGTCGCCTTGTGGCCGGTGTCCGTCGGTGAGCTCGAGATCGTGTAGTGCTGCTGATGCGGCGGCGGTCCCAGCTCCTCCGACGAGGCGTCGTCGAGCTCTAGTGGATCGTCCTCGAGGTCGGACAGCTCGTTGCCACGGCCCTTCTTGCTCCTGTCCGGGTTGGCCTCGTGCGTGCCACGCACGCAGCCCTGCCTGTCGCCCAGTCTTTGGCAGCAGCACCATCGGAACGCCGCGGGATACTCTAAACGGTTGGAATCCGTGTCCAGCTCGTCTGACGATACGTCGTCCCAGATTGTTGGTATTTGAGTCTCATCCCAAAGCTCCAGTTCGCCTAAACGATGGGGTGGGTGCACGAGTCAGTATGACCCTTCAAACAACGAGAATGAGATACCCTTCTAACAGCTTGTCCAGTGTAGTGTTTTCGCTAGGAAAGAAGATGCACGGCATGGAGATGAGACAGCAGTAGAGTTGGAAAGAGAGATTAAGAAGCTCTACCAGTCTGGTGTTGCTTCTGCTTCCGCTGCTGTTGCTCCTGCTGCTGTTGGGTTTCCACGCTCTGCTTGCTTGCTTACCTGAGTGGTACCAACATGAGCCGAAGCTGTTCTCGTCGGCCGTGAAGATGCCGTCGCACTGAACACAAATCTTGGGCTCGCCGGTTGCCTTTCTCTTTTTTGGATTTGACGGACTTGAGATGGAATTGGGGCTCCTCTTGGCACTATCCTCCTCGTCCTCTTCCTCGCGGACATCGGCCTCAAAGCGCAGCAGCCGCTCAAGCTGCCTCAACGCCTGGGCTCGAACCCGTCGGTCATCGCAGAGAGCTACGAGGATGGCGCGGGCGACGGGCGCTGGCGCCTGAGCGAGGCCGTCGAGGTCCGGGGCGGCAGCGGCGGCAGCGAAGAAGGAGGACGACGGCGAGTCAACGGGCGAAGATGCGAAAGCCATTGCCGGGATGATAGCGGACGGCGGACAGGCGGACGGGGACCGTGAACGACGGGGAGACGACGCCGTTTGGGTCGATGGTTTAAAAAAAAGGTTCATTGAGGCTCTCTACGGCCTCGGGAGGGGGGGGTATTTCTGGGTTCTGGGTTCTGTTGCCGGAAGCCCTTCCCCGGATGTGTCAGCTCACGGATGCATTAGCAACAAAGTGTGTCTTCAAGGGGGTGGTGGGTAGGTTGATTGGAGGTCGGCCGTGTCCGAGGAGAGAAGGGGGAATGAATGGGACGGGGGATGCGGGTGCGGTGGCCGGGCCTGCAGGTCAGGTTATTGACGGCAAGGCGAAGGTCAAGGTGGATGGATGGATGTATCCGTAGAGGCGTACGTGGACGAGTTGCCAGTCGATCCGTCGTACTACCGGGCAGCAAAGGCAGCAAAAGAAGGGGACTAGAAGGGGGGGAAGCGAGAGAGTGAGAGAGAGACACGAGACGCACAGAAGAGAGAAAGTGAGCTCAGAGATAGGTACGGATGGAGAAGAGTGGGACGGGGAAGTAGGACGTGAGAGATGCGGCCCTTCTGCCGGCCGGCCGGTCCTGTCGGTCCAACTATACTTTAGCTTGTTGGGATCTGCTTTGCTGGGAAGTCTGTCAAGGCCAACAAGGGCCCAGGTGCTGGATCATGGATGCGTATGGTATGGATTATGGATATGGCTGGCTGAGGAGAGGTGACGAGATGGATGGGAGGGGCCCGGCCGGGGGATAGAATCACATAGCTCCAGCAATCCCATGGTTGTAGCATGTGCATTGCCGGGAGACGGAGACGGAGGACCCTCTCACTCCTCTCACACTCCATGTCGACACTTGTCGAGAGGGTGGTGTGGGTGAGAGCAGTCCATGACCTCAGAGACCAAGAGAGCAGAATGCCGCCAGCGGCGACTTGCGGGGTCAGAGGCTAGAAGCATTAGGGTGTGTATTCGACATCCAGGGCTGTTCCGCTGCAAGATGCCCGTTTGAGCGATGAGAAAGGGATCCAGGGGCCGGCTCGTGACCATTCACCAACTTCTGTCATATTTTCGAAGCGATACTTTCAGGCCTAGCCGTTCCTTGGATCATAAAGTATGTGGTGGCCGCCGCCGAACCATGCCATGCGATGCCGTGCCATACTTTTTCGTTCTTTTGCCCATACGGGCCCCCATGCCAAACCGTTCCATGCTCCATACCATGGCCGGCCAGACCAGACTAGACGCGAATTCGACCTAACCAGACCAAAGCAGAACCAGAACCAGAACCAGGGGGGAAAGGACGGGGCATATGATCTGGTGCTATGTATGCAGTGCCATGTCTCGCAAATTGGATTGACTCTGGCTGTGAGTGGTGGTGACTTTGCCAGCAAATCACGGCTCTCGGAGTGCCACAACAACAGAACATTTGAACATTTGAACCCTTCAACTTTTCCTCTTCCCACCCCGCCAGGCTGGCCGCTTTGCAGGGCCCTGCCGAGCCTGTTGAGAAAAGGTAAAACCAGAACGGGAGATTTGACCGTGCGGCCCTCTGGGGACCAAGGTAATATCTGGTATTCCCGTCTCCGTGCCCCGTCCCACGGTCCTGCTGCTACCAATCCCGAACTGGGAACCAGAGAAGATCAGTGGATGCACGATGTGCATGGCGTCATGTACGACTGTATAGATGCAGGCACCGATGTCTGCCGCGGCGTCGGTGTCGCAAGGGAACTGGGAACTGGGGGTGGTGGGAGGGGGGCAAGACTCAAGAGAGAAAGAGACGGCGGGAAACTCTAGGAAACAAGACAAGATTACCTACTGTTAGGGCTGCCCGGTTTGGTTTGGATGGGTAATATTAAATGGGGTTAAAGCGTGAATCGAATTTTGGGTGCGGCAAGCGCGCGTAGCGACAGAAAATCTAAACTTGGCTTCAGCTTCTTGCCAGGGACCATCGGGAACCAAGAATGGACTTGGACTGGACGATTCATGTGTGGACGGTCGGCGGCCGGGGGGTGTGAGCGGACAGGCTCGGCGAGCACACACACACCAACTCTTGGTTTCTCACTATCTTTTTCTCTCTTCGTCTCTTTTCATTGCGGATAATAGTGACACACAGACACAACTAAGTAGCTGAGAGACTTCGTACTCACATTACACTAGTCGGGCAATAATGCCAACGGCCGTCGATGACACTAACATCGGATCGTAACACCAACGCCAAACCTATGGGGGGAGGGGGCCACTCTGCAGTTCTTGTGGCCCCCAAGTGCCCTTTTATCCCATCAAGAGAGACCAGACGGAGGTAGGAAAAACGAACCCGCGCCGGCGCCAATACCAAACGGTCCGACGCCATTCCCAGTTGCGCCAAAAGGCCCGGCCGGTTGGGGGCGGGCTCTCTACCCCGAGATCTGGTAATGTATGCGCCGCACACTCAGTGAACCACTACAAACAAGCAAGCAAGCAGTTGATTAAAAGAGCGCAGCCAGCAGGGGACGGCGGCGACGGCGGCGGCGGCACGCTGCCCACCTGCGGGCCGATCCTGTCTTGGCTTTGGCCTTTAAAATCCAGCTTTGGTCCCTTTGCTTTTTCATCTTCCCCTTGTTGGTGTGGTCTTTTTTGGGGGGGAACGGTATCTTGCGACGAAGCTGCGATTCGTCGAGGACCGAGGTGAGGACCATTATCCCGTCCCCCGAGCGTCTACTTCACGCCCCGGAGGAGAGAATCGACAAAGAAGAAACGATGGTCCAGCCACACCGAGCTGGCCGACGACACTCGGTGAAGGGAGCCCAGTGTCGAATCTCCAATCTCACCCAAACACCTTGTCCATCTATTGGTTGTTTTTTTGTGTCTCTTGCTGCCCCCCAACCTGTCTCAAGTTAAGATGCGGGAAGGACCACACACCACACCCCCCCATTGTTGGAGTTTTGCTGTTCGGTTAGACGGTAAGCATTGACAGGGAGTCCGCCACGTCGGACCTGGAGACAAGAGCAAGGAACCAGAAAATCGGACGACTGGGCTTGATGATGCGTCGCGGGATGTCTTCAGTTCAGCTGGACTGGGAACCCAGGTCGACACTTGCGCGGCTCCTGCTTGCTCGCTTGCTCTATCGCCCGACTGTGGTTGATGTGGTCGACACACGGCACGACTAACCGGAATGTCGGATATGCTGATGGTTGCTGACGGGCGTTTTGCCGTGATGCTAGAGTCTGGACCTTGTTCCAGTCTCGCGGAGGAATGCCCAGAGAAGGCATCGTCTGTTGAAGATGACGCCGTGAGACTCAAGAGAAGGGTCGTAGTGATATTCAGGCTGGATATCAATGACACCATAACGAGGAGGACGGAAGAATGTGTTGCGAGGTGGGAATGTAGAAAGGTAAGCTGACATGGACGTGCCGGTAGTTGACTTTGGCTCTAGGGCACGGACTCGGAGGATTTCTCTTTCTCACATTTCCATCCGTCTGCTTTTTTCCCCATCTCAAGATCTGCATGGTACGTGGTCTCCCTTTTCGGTGCTCTCTCGGCAAGTTGAAGTCTGGAGGGTGCCATTGAGTTGCTGGGGCAAGTCGAGATTCGGTAAGCGGCTCTTCTTCTCTGACGGTTTCGTCCGACCTATGGCATAAGGTAGTACCGAGTTTACAGACCGGACTACATCTTCTTCCCTCGCTTCGTCTTCTCGACCGGCCAGTCTCTAGATGCATCACGTTATTTTGCCTGCATTCTATCGAAACCGGCGAGCAGCGACAACACCACGCCATCACACATATTTCCTCCTACCCTGCATGGTCAGTTATCAGAAAACCCAACATCGAGAGGCCGCCGACGATGCTGCCACTGACGTTGGACGTTCACTTCTGCACCGGGCCCCCGATGTCTTGGTTCACAAGCAGGCCGGCCGTGTCTCGGACCCATCAAAACCAGGGAGACTGAAAACCTCCACTGCAAGTCTGGTCTCGTCTGCGGTTGCGCGGGTGCGGTACAATCGGTACTGCAACCGACTGCCGCACTGCATTGCATACCTTCTCACATCACACACTACCACACACGCCTCAAGAGTGTACGAGTTTTGCGTAGGTTAGTATTCACGTCAGCTTCCGCTGCCTACGCATGTCTCACCAATGCTTTCCTATTTCAGCGGTTCACCGTCCCGCCCAGCCGTTTTCCAATTCGTCTATCGCTCGACTCGGGGCTTGTCTTGGGCTTTTTCATGTCTCTTGAGGCTTGCCAACCGCATCCTTCACCGCCTCATTTGTCGAATCTTGCGGAATGGGCCGCTTGTTCATGACGGAGATGAGGCGTTTCCATCCCGGCAGCAGACGCGAGAACGAAGTTTACTGGTGGTCAAGCCACGGCCGGCGGGATGAGCTCCCCCCATAGTATGATCTGATGCAGCGATGCTCGCCTTGCTAATCTCGAATTGTCGAATCATACCCTGGAGATCCGATCCCCGGTTACACAAAGTTGAAGCTCAGAGTTCACGCCAAGCCCTCATGTTACCCTTTCGCAGGCAAATTAGAGAGAGAAACAAATCGCATCCTTCAAAGGCATCCCGCTCTCCTCGCTGCCACGACAGCCAAACCTCAAACATTGACGTCGAGAGGCCCTTCAAAAGAGCATCAGCCCATTTCAAAAGCCACAACATCCCAAAATTTCCAAAATTCAAGGTCCTCCGGATACCTGGAATCAGAATGTCTCAAGCCACAACGTCCAGTTCAGGGGTTCCCTAGCAGAGTGACAGTGATAGCCCAGTCCGTATTGGTTTTAGACTTTCCAGCTAACCACATATCGCACGTCATGCCCGCCCAGAAACACTGCCCCCAGTGCGACCCCTCGAAGAACAAACTCCACAGGTTCGTCTCCCTCCGCTCGGGTCGTCCCCGTCCCGAAGGGAGCCCCGAAGGGAGGACAAGTTCGACCCAGTCCACTCCAGTCCATCCTCTCGTAGACTCGTAGCATTGTCGAGCCAGAGCTTCTCCCTAGATGTGATTCCTCAAGAGTCTCAATTTCATCCGGTGACCGGACATAAGCACGATTACCAACCCTCTTTCTACCAGACCACGAGCCCCAAGGCAGCGTGGTAGTCTCGACGGCACAATGGCTCCAAGCACGGCGCGCCTCACAATCTTCGTCTTCGGGCTCTCCTCCTTCGCGGCAGGAGTGCACTCCCTCTTCCGTCCCCACGACTCCCTCAAGGCGCTAGACCTCCCCGTTGCCGCTCTCCCCGCAGCCAACGGCAACGCTCTGGCCGCCATTGCGATGGGCATCTACTACACCCTAGCAGCCGCCCAAGACAACCGCGCCTTCTTTCTCGCCACCATACCAATGCGCCTGACGTCCGCCTTCGTGTTCTGGCGGCAGGACTGGGGTATCGTTTCCGGTTGGGAGGGTGGGAGCGCGGCCTTGACGCTGCTGGCCTTGGCTTGGGATGCTCGGCAGCGACCCAAGACTCACGAGACTTAAGAGGCTGGGCACACTCGCCTGCGGCCTGACGAAGATGCGGAACATGCCGGGAGATCGAGGATGGGTGATTCAATCTGCTGTTCTAGATCTGAATTGATGTGCAGTTTTGACTGAGATGATGTCTTTCGATGTGAGATTTAATCTCAAGTTCCCATTCACGCCAGCCGGTGAGGAGGGCAGCCTGTCCTGTGCAGTGAGGCCATGGAGGAGGGAAGATCATCACTGAAGACCAATAGCAGACCTGGTAGCAAAGACATGAGGCGAATCAGTCTTACATCCTGACCCATTCGTTTCCTCGAGGCTTCGCGGTCGGTCATGAGAAACAATTCAAATTGTAACGATTCATAATACAAATCATTATCCAGCTACGAGATAGCATTCTCATTGCACTTCACGAGCCGGCGCGACGTGAATCTGCCAATATTTCGTCGTTTCCTTGGGTATCCTCGCCCTCTCTTCATCCGTCATCGTATCCTTTCCATATTCCTCATGCGTTACCCCCTCGGACAAGACGCCCTCTCTCGTACCGTTTTTCAAAAATGTCATAAACTCCATGGTGACCCTCACATACTCCCGCAATCCTTGCCGCACATCAATCGTAGCCCCTGTAGTCCAGCGAAGCAGCAAAGGCTCAATGAGCGGCGCATCAGTCACGCTGGGATGACTTGTCTTCAGGCTGGTCAGGAACCAGCTCGAGCCCACGCGCTTGAGTACGTCCCTCGCGATATCCCTGACCGTATCAAAGTGCGGCCGGCCGAAGAACGGTGTAATCTTTTTGGACCAGGAGTCGGAGTGGACGATGAGGATTGGCACGTCGATATCGGTGTTCAGTCGTCCGCTGCTCTTCCCTGGGTCAAGAGCAATACCTCCCACGGCCGGGTTCTCGCTTGAGGTAGCACCTTTGAGAGCCTGTAGCGCACCCGTTGCGCCAAATGAATGGCCTGCGATGACTGTTTGGGAGAAGTCGAGTCTACCTTCCCAATCGGCGAGTCCATGGCCTTCTTGGCGGGCGTTGTCTGTGAAGATCTTTGACCCCTTTCCGACGTGTAATGACCGCAACACCGCTATCGTCTCTTCAATCTCAGCTTGTCGGAAGGCGAGTTGTTCGAACTTCAAATCATCAGACTCCATCTCCCTGCCTCCTCTGAGTTCATTCTTGGTGAGGTACATGACCCTACGGCTCTTGCCGTTTGTAGCTGTAACGACCGAGCCAGGTCCGCTGCCGTCGCGATGCTCGATGGCAGCCACGACGATTCCGCGGCTCGCGAGCTCACCGCAGTAGTGCGTGTAATCCGTCCGGGAACTGGCCAGGCCGTGAGACAACGCCACGACGGGGAATTTCTCATTTCCTTTCCCGCTTGTCGATGAAAGAAGCGGCACATCAACTTGTGCTGGAATCTTGATGCCCCCCACCAAAGCCCATACTGCGAAGGTGAATATCGGTCGTGAGATGAAGTTGTTGAAGTGGGCGGCCCTCGCATAGCCCTCTGCTGTGAGGCTGATGGGTTTTGGAACCCAATAGTGATGACCTGCTCCCCTTACACCCTTCTCGGCTGGATAATACAGGGTGAACAGCACCGTTTCGAGGTTGAATGCGGCCTGGCCGTTGCTGGCGAGAACTGAGTCGCTCGTGTTGCGAGGAGTACGGACGGGAACCTCGATGTCTATTGCTCCAACTTCAAATGGCCCCGAGTAATTTGGTAGCCTGGATGCAAAGAGAGGTGACTGGATGAGGATGCAGTAGAAGACATAGAGCCCGATGAGACCCCACAGCAGGTATCCCACTGTAAGCCGCGGTCGAAGGGTTGTGAGGAATCTCTGCGACATGGAGCGACTCCATGGCTGCGCGGTCTTCATCCACTTCGGTGCGTTTTCCATCACGCTGTTACGATTACTAATTGTCCCAGTCTGCCGTCTGAAGGTGTCGTCGTTGTCGTCTTGAAGCGGAAGCGGAGAGTCTGGGCCTTCAAAATCCGGGGCTTCGGCTAGAGCGTCGAGTTCCACATCGATGTCTCTGTAAGAAGGTAAGTGGCGTGAAGCCATAACGTGAGAAAGCTCTCATACGTCGAGTTTGTCGGGGCAAGTGTTGTGATCCTTCAACTTGGAGGTGTGAAGTGGACAGGATGGGGTTGGCGCGGGCCGGAATCTGCGGCGGGATGATCGGCTGTGGCGTTACGTCATCACCTTTGGTGTTCGGACACCACGAGATGACAGCTGTCGTGCGTAGACGTCCAAGCAAGTAGACGTTCGTTACACTTATCTTATACAAAACTCATTGGTTCAGTAATCTGATCACCAGAGCTTTATGTTGAATTGCAAGAAATAGGCGCTCACTCGCCGACCGTGCGATCACGGACAAATGTGGCAGATCTGCCACCCAGGCCTTTACCTACGTCTGCTCGCTTATCCTCCTATAAGCATATGCGATCACAACAGCTACGATTCGTATTCTCTAATGCGCTTTCAAGATGCACTAAAGGCCGATATCCAAGTTGTCGTAAGCGAAGGGAGGTAGGTATCATATCGCAACCCCAGGTTCCACTGTGGTGCACCAGTATGCCCACGGGAACGTCGGATAAGTGTTGGCTACAGCTTTGAGACCAAGTGATTGTAAACTTCAAAGAATGGTTGAGTTGACATTTAGGTAAACGGCATGGGTTTTGACTGCCCCAGTTGTTCCCGTTCGCCCCGCGATGCGTAGCGCGCCTCAACCACGACTACCTTGAGCCCGAGGCGATCGTCCGACTGGCCATAAACTATGAGCCTTGGTAGAAATGATGTCGATACGAGAAAAACAGGACCGCTTAGTGTATTCAAACTTCCTGGTACCAGACGCAGTTGACATAAGAAGGACAAGCTGATGCCTCGGCTCTCCTGAGTATCATGCCGTCAGTGTCAGCCAAAACCAAGGAGACACACTCCCGGAGAATACTCTAATAAAGTTCCCCTACTATGTCGCAGATGAGCCTTAGTGGAAGTCGCGATGGAGCTGGACGTGCTTTGCTCCAGCTCGCCGGGGCAGAGCAAATGGTTTCATGGCATGGCTCAGGGTGGAGTCGGTCAAGAAACGCCATGACCGAAGGCTCTTTTCTGATTTGTCTTAGCCGCCGAGTTGTCTCCTGCGAAAGCCTGCCCGTCAAAGCTCCTATACGGAACAGGGGAGATCTCCACTTTGAACAAGGGAACACGAATGCAAATCAGTATGTTTGCACCGTCTCGTACTGAATCGAGGTACTGAGGCCTTTTGGGGAGTGGAATAATCCTCAGCAGTGGCCTTTGATGGTACTTTACCCGATGGTCATCAACTAATCCTCAGTCAAGGCATCTGCCATGAGAGAAGTGAGGATAAAGGCGTCTTTGGATGCCGCTTGTTCCTTGGGAGTTTCAAGAAGCAAGCTTGACTGTCTGTTGTAGACCTGTGAAAGACCTATTTCAACTCATAAAAGGAGATCGTTTGCGCTCAAGCGCGCTCAAGCAGGTAACAGTGAGTAGGCCCTCACATCTCATCGGTTATTTTGAAAAGCAATTTGTTGTTCTCGGTTGCTCAAAGAACTCGCCCGCTCAGGTATGATATCGTTTCCGACCTGTTTTCAGAGCTAAGCATCAGTTATATTGATGACGAAAGCTTGATCCGCGGTATGCGACTACCTTAGACTGCATCACAAATCTCGCGATAGCACCTTAGACAGGTAAGCGCCTTCCGGGTTGTCTTACTAGATGGAAGAGTTGAACAAAGACCGAGGCATGAGTTGTTGCCGCGGAGCGAATCGTAGCCCAGTCTGCTGGTTGATCAAATCAATTCAAGCTAGTAAGGTCAGAGGTTGGCCTCAGGAGTGCTCGTAGAACTCTTGCGGCCGACCGGGGATAGCTGCATGTGTGGACATGTCCAGTCGATGAAGAAGCTTAGCCACCATTGACAACAATATCATCTACATGAGTTACAACGGATCACCAGGGTCTATGAAGAGGGTTGCTGGAGAATGTTTACTCAAATAGCTGGGATGAACGCCATGTACGCTGCCGCGCTGCCGCGCATATTACAGATTCTAGCCAATCGCATTTGTCTCTACAGAGCATCGAACGGATTCCGGAACGAAGGATCTGGACCTACCCCGGTATCGTTCGTTTTCCTAAAGACCCCGTTAAATAACCCATGACGTGCATCATAACCGCTTCGACCAGTCGCATCTCTCACCTTTGCTCCATTGCTCACCATAGCCCCCATGCGAAGACCCGCGATGTACCGTGCCTACCCTACCCTAGATCACCAACCATGGAGCCGATCATCCGCAATTCGTTTTGCAGCCTTTTTACAACTACAGACTTCTCCCACCGCCGACCGAATCGAGAGTCTCGAAATGCGAGTTCTGGCCCATGATTGGCGGCTCAAGGTGAAACACACCATGCTGAGACCATGTGGTCCACCACTCAACGTTGAATCGGCCGAGAACCCGATAGCTTGTTTGGGGATTCGCTTTTGATTCCATCTTGGGATGGTCTAGCAACCCCAGTCTTGGCCCCGCCAGGTCAGAGGCGACTCTTCGATGGGGAATCCTCGCGACCTTCATTGTCCTTCAGCCAACTCGACTGTCCTTCTTGCCACGCTCCTTGCATTCTCTGTCGCAAATGACCTGAAGTTGGGCCCAAGCAGCCTCGGCTGGTTCGATTGCCGCGATGGACGGAAAAAGGTGGTTGATATTGACTCAGCTTTCGGATTGACGGCTGCCATCGCAACTCAACATATAAGTAGCGCAGCGTCCCCTCGTCCCATCTTGACTTTTTCTTTGATAGAAGTCTTCAGAGTAACTCGACGCCAACGTAGCATCTGCCCAACGAACAACCTTTTCTGTCAAAATCACTAGTGCAGAGCGCTTATTTCAATTCCGCAAACATGGTCTATTCACCCGTCGTCGCTTTAGGTTTTCTGGGTGCCCTGCAGGGCAGGAGCGAGGTCTATTCTCGACAAACGAACGCGACGGGCTGTGCGACGGGCGTGCATATGATTGTGGCCCGGGCCAGCACCGAACAGCCGGGCACGGGAGTCATTGGCGCCATCGCGAACAACATCCAATCGCAGGTTCCGGGGTCCGACATCGTCCCGGTCGATTACCCTGCGCTGCTGAATCCTTACCAGCCGTCGCAGAAGGCTGGTGTCACGGCGATGACGAAGCTGGTTCAGGACTACGCCAAGGCGTGCCCTCAAACGAAGATGGTCCTCATGGGATACTCGCAAGTGAGTGGTCACTCATCGTGACCAGACCAAGACAGGATGACTTACGAACCACGAAGGGAGCACACGTTACTGCCGATGTTCTTTGCGGCACAAGCGAGACCGGGTTCGAGGCAACAGAGCCCCAGGCTACTGACGTTACGGATAAAAGTACGTTCCGAACGACGTCGAGAAATCTCTGCCAGTCACTAACATGAACTTAGTCGCCGCCGTTGTCCTCATGGGCGACCCAAGCCACGTGACCGGGCAGCCCTTCGATCAAGGAACCAGCCAGAAGAACGGCGTAAGCAAGACGAAGAAGAACCTCTCCGGCCAGGATAGACTTTGCTGACCAATTCACCTTCTAGATCTTTCCAAGAACCAAGACTGCCGGGTGCGATGCCGTCTCCAGCAAGATGGCCTCCTTCTGCAACAGCGGCGACCCGTTCTGCGACAGCGGGGCCAACATCCAGGTTCACCTGAGCTACGTCCAGTCTGATGGAGACGCAGCCACAAAGTTCATCATGTCCAAGGTCGGCGGCGGCGCTGCGGCATGACTGGGAGAAGGCACGGGTGCGAGGCAGTCTGTCAGCCTGCGCTTTTTACTGTACATGACTCTGCTGGCACAGATTGTTGGTTTACTGATCTTGTGAAGGAGGGCTTCGCCATGATTGCTTCATGAGCTTGGCACCGGTAAATACCTTTGTTTTTCATGTTGATACATATTGATTAGTTGAAGCATAGTTAGCGTACAAGAATATGTTCGGGTTTTAGCACATCCCGTAGTCACAAAGATGGATACTCACGTGTCCTTCAGCTAGATACTCATTATGGCCAACGGCTGATCAATATGGCATATTTCCAGCGTGAAGCTTTTGGTGGAGGCTGGAAAGTGTCTCCAGCATCTCAGGAAGGGTATGGTGGAGAGGTCAGTTGCTGTGGGAATGTTAGAGACATGCATGCCTGCAGAAGAGGCATGGCAAACCATTAGATCCACAAATCTAGATTGTCATCCCATCGAGTACGGAATGGCATCAGTAGATAGGTACGTACTCTGTATAAGAGGCAATAACAGATCACACATTATTTTATTTAATTTTTGATCTTGGCGTCTTTATGCTTTCTGATGTACCCAATGAAAATTTCAAGAAGGGATCAGCGTTAGAAAAAAACTAGGAGCGCGTGTACTGATGCCTTTCGGCACTCGACGGATTGGCCGACCTCGTAAATTACCTTGTCGTCGGTGGAAAATGGTACACGGGTAATAGGTACTGTGGCAGGAGATTAACGAGTTACTTCGAGCCTGAGCCATCAGCTGATATCCCCCGTAACTATTCTAGCAGGAATACTCCGTGACGAACTGGCGATATCTAGCGGAAGATGCGATAGGTGGTGCTGATTGACTGGCTAAGCCAACTGTTGTGCCATTTTCTTTGGAGGTCAAATGCACATTCACTTTGTCTTCTCCTATCAGACTTTTTTCCCCGTCGAGATGGATGCGGATTCTGGTCGCAAAAACAATCAGTAGCGGGCGATGAACGCCAACTTATACTGCGGAGATTCTTTAATAGACATCCCAATCAGTCGAAGAAATTCGAAAGCATAATTTTGTACCGGGATGGCCTAATGGGTACCGTTTGGACGCTCATGCAGATATCAACGCCCCCCATAACCTTAGCAGCAACCTTAATTACCTTGAATGTCTACCCCGTGACGAAGCGATTATATTTAGCGCAAGATAAGTAGATTCTGCTCGACCAATTTACCCATTGCGCGGTCTCTCGAGGGTTCAACATCCCTCTGCCTTCTGCAATCCTCATATTCCCCCTGTTTTTTGCAATCCACTCTGCCTTGCCCACGGCCATGAACGAGGAATGATGTCGGAAAAGAGAACAATTGCTGCAGCCAGCAAACGTCAATTTATATCGTGACAATTCCCCAACAGGCGCACCAAGCGCCTGGGTTTCCAAGTGCTTGGGTTTGGGAGCATACCCTGGCAGCGGAATGGCCCGACGGGTGCTTTTAAGGTTAAAACAATCGCCATGCAGGTGTCAATGGTCCGCTTCAACCTTAACTACCGCCATGCCTCCATATTCGCGGCGTCTTGCTGCAGTAACGGTCTAATCTTGTCGATGATTCTGGACGCTTGCCAGACCTTGATCTGATTATTTCGCTAGCACAAGCTGGGACTCACATGTAAATTCGCTGGCATTATAGAGCCAAGGGAGGATGACTCCGACTCAACAATGATCTTCTCTGGCAACCGGGATTGGCGTTTGCTGTTTTCATAGGCCAATTATCTATTCTCCAGTCTGCTGTGTCATCTATCGCTATCCAAGGCCCTATATGTCACCATCCTTGAGCTCTTTAGTGCCATTGTTGGTCAAGCCAGGCCGCAAATCCCACTGCCTCTCACTCTTACACTTCGCTCGAGTTTTGGTCCGGCCGAAAACCTCTGCGGCCCCCGGTAATTGGCGTCGTGATCTTTCACTCATGGTACTCACTCGAGATCATGCTTCCAAACCCTAGTGGAGTTGATGCTCTCTGGTTTAGTATGGACCTCTACGGCTTCGTCTCCAGAGAACATATTTAAAGGAGCACATTTCCCCCTTCCCTCCAGTTCATTTCTGTCATCCTTCATCTCACTCACAATCGTCTACACGCAAGAGTAAGTCTACCAACTGTAAGTTTTTCATTCAGTCAGTTCGCAAGAAACCAAAAACAAGATCACAATGTCTTCCTTTTCTCACGTTTCTCTTCCCGTTGAGATGGAGGTGGATTCTCCCCCCACCTCCTCCTTCGGTTCTTCTTCTTCTTTCCTTTCCGCTGAAAACAGGCCTATCCCCCCTGTTTTGAGCAACCCTTTTCTTCCTTCTCCCCCCAAAGGCAGGCTCAACCCCCCTGCTTTTGGAGCCCCCTCCTCTCTCTCTTCTTCTTCTCCTTCTCAGCCGGTTGGCGCTCAGGTCGGCTCTCACACCGACTCTAATCCAACCGAAGATCTCATCCAATCCTTCTCCTCCTTCACCGTCGGGGCTGGCCCTCTCCCCCCTGCTCTCACCAAGCAGGTAGCCGCCCCTGTTCACTCTCTTTCTCTTATGGCTGCTCGAGTCGCTTGGGCTAAGTGCAAGAAGAGCAAGTGCTCTCCCTCTGCCAATCCCTTCCATCACAATCATCCCCTCTACCGCAAGTACTCCAACCTCTCTCTCTTTTCCTCTTCCCCCAAGAACCGCTCCAAGAGTGGCGATATCCCCCGTGGCCCCTCCTCTTCTTCTCCGGCGCCTGCGAATCCCTTTGGACCCAAGCCTCAAGGTGTTCGCAAGCGCCGCGCTCGGGGTAAGGGCAGAGCTCAGGTGAAGCAGCAACAGGCTCAGGGCAATGGCCAGACGCGTGGCCCTCGGAACTCTTCCCCTGATCAGCATCGGTCTAATCCCCAGCCCGCTCGAGGTCAGCCTCGCGGGTCTAGACCGAATCGCAATCAGGGCCCGAGGGCTGCTCAGTCTGTTAACCGCAATCCCTTTACGCCTGCTGCTGTGAATCCGTTCTCTCAACCCTTGCCCCAGGCTTCCGCTCCCGCTCCCCCTTCTCAGCCACGCAATCGTCGCTCTCGGGGCGGTTCTCGTCACAACCCCATCACTCTCTAGAGTACTTGCTTCCCTCTCTTCTTTTTCTCTCTCTCTCTCTCTCTGTACTTTGTTTTCTTCTTGCACTTACACAAAAGCCCAAAAAAACTTGAAAAGCCTAAAGAGAAAAAAAAAACCCCGTTTCCTTTGTTTTGGTTTGAGATCTTCATTCTTCCGCTTCCGTTTTCTTTTTGTTTTTGTTTTTTTTTTGCTTTTCTCTCTCTCTTCTCTCTCTCCCCCCTTCTCTTCTCTCCGATGTTGTTTTTGGTTTCTGGCGAATTGGTAGACTTTTTATCGCTTGCGTGTAGGCGATTATTTTACCTCCCCGGCCCCGGCGAGCCACCATCGTGAAATCGCCTTTCTCCCCTCCCCCTTTCCTCCAAGGCCCCAGTGAGCCACCTTCGGGAAATCACTCTTCTCCCCACCCCCTATCCTCCAAGGCCCCGGCGAGCCATCTTCGGAAAATCGCCTTCCTCCCCACCCTCTTCTCTCCCCGGCCCCAGCGAGCCACCATCGTGAAATCGCTTCTCTCCCCACCCTCTTTTCTCTCCCCGGCCCCAGTGAGCCACCTCCGGGAAATCACTCTTCTCCCCACCCTCTTTTCTCTCTCCGGCCCCAGCGAGCCACCATCGTGAAATCACTTTCCTCCCCACCTTCTTTTCCTTGGCCCCGGTGAGCCTATCACTACTCCTCTGGGCGATGAAGTCGGACTCCAAACCTCCCCGTGGTATTGCCTGGGAACTTCCTCTCCTTCATTGGATTGGTTGCTAAGTCCTTCGGGACTGGAGACGCAAACCATAGTAAGTTCTTCTTCCCACTCTTGGTTGATACGCTTACTTTTAGGTTACTCACTTCCCCTTCATGCCTCTCTATTTTGGTATTGCTAATGTTGTAGGACATCTTTAATTGCTTTTTGGGCATGATTCACTCGTTGACCAGCATGTGACCAAGGTAGGTTCTTGCTCTCATCCATCTTTTCAACTCGAATCTCATCTGACTAACTTGTATCATTTCACTAAGGTAGTGTGGAAACTAGAGTCTTTCTCTCGGTTGAAATTGGACGGCCTCTTTGATTTGCTGACTTACATTCGTCTTGGACACCTCATTCTCATTCACTTTTACCGACAGCGATCTGAATCTAGTAAGTAACTCAAAACCTTCATCATTACCAAAATCCGCGAAATAATAGAGATGATCTAACTTTCACAATATCACAGGTGAAGCTGATCACGAATAGTGGCCGAAAAGGCGTACATACCTTTTGGTGAGTCGCGTGCCGCGTGTTACGACGTTTGAAGTTGTGGCTGACTACCCGGTGGCCTGGTTGCTTCCGTGCTGTGGCTGAGGCCACCGCGCGGACCGGGTACAAGTGGGGCCGGGATCTCAAAGTTTCTCCGTGTCGCCCGCCCGCCCTGTCCGTCGGGTCCCGAAATCCCAGCGTTCGCTCAGGGGTCATGCCAAACAGAGCTAGGGCCGAACTTAAATTGATGGAAAATCTTTCAGAATTGCAAAGACCCGAGTTACAAATAGCTCGTTCCATTAGAAATTGCTCGAGAAGCCAAGTAAGTCTAAATCTTTACCCCAGGTCACGTACTAGTCATGGATAGTGCTGATCGTTTGCTGCCCCGGAATCTGCCCTTTGCAATCACACTGCCCAGAGCTACTGCACCGCCCTGGCATGAGAATGCCCTGTGGGTAGAGATTAACCTGACCGAATGTCATGCGGCCATTGATTTTTACGGCAGTCTTGTGCGCTTATCAAGTCAGCAGATGAAGCGTTGGGTTCTGAGAGGCTCACTACCTGATGTATCGCAAGCGCGGAACACTATTATACAACAGGCGGCTGAGTCTTCGTCTGGAGAGATTGCTTGTGAGATCTGCTTTAATACAGTTTATACTAACACACTGTGATTGACGAGATAGATTCAAGCACCCTCGGGGAGTATCTCCCGGTCTGGCACGAGTGTGGAACTTGGGATATTTAAGTCAAGCAATTTCACCTTGTCTGTCACTTGAAATACCCCCTTCATTTGCAATCGATCTAGATTCAGCAGCAGCAACTTCTTTCTCTAGTCACACACCCTCTACAAGATCCAGGATGTTGTCTTCAAAATTCTTTCGAGGCCTCTGCGCCCTCTTCATTCTCCTTCTCGGAGCCAGCTTCGCCACAGCCTCCCCGGTCGCCGTCAACGCGGAGCTAGCCGCCCGCACTCGAGCCGAAGACACCTCCGTCGCCGCCCGCGCCTCAGGCGGCGGCTGGTGCTGGCCCTTCTGCAACCCCTTCAACCGCGGCGTCCCCAACGCCCCAAACCGCTTCGACTTCCGCCCGCCCGCGTCAACAGCCCGCCCGCAATACTTTGACACCCCGGACAATCAGGTGACCCTCCGCGTCGAGACGCAGGCCACGGGCGCCGTACTGGTGACCGTCTCGGTCGGCACGCGGTACACCCTGCCGGCGCACGCCGAGATCAATGTGCGCCTTCTGGTGCGAAGTACACACATCGATTTCAACCACGCCAATCTGGAGTTTGGGAGCGAGACGGCGGTTGTGAGGATCACGCCTGAGCAGGCTGCTGCTTTTAGGAACGGGGAGAGGAGTGAGGATGGGTCGTTCAAGATTACGCTTTTGTATAAGTTGGGGCAGGACTTGTGAGAGAGTCATGGGCCTAGTATCTGGGGTTCTGGGCAAAGAATACCTCTCTCTATGCCTCCACAAATGGATGCCATCATGGTGCGCATTCGCCGACTACGGAACAAGTCGACATTCTTAGAGAGAAACCAGCTTAAGTACAATTTGCTAGCTTATAAGATCCCAATACATCTCATTGAAAAGAAGTCAAATAACTCGTACTCTATCTTAAGTACGACAAGGGAGCACGAAACGAGGGGCATAACCGGCAGGGCCCCAGCGCACCAATATCTCCTCGAGCCTGGAGCTCCAGTGGGAGCCAGGCCATTCTAGGTGAGCGCTCAGCCACCACAGACCCTGTAGCAGCTAAAAGTTCCCCCTATGAAGACTGCGCCCATGGTTCTAGACGAAACACTATTTCAACATGGAATAATATGTTGCGTACATGTATGCTGCGTTCGCAATCATCGAATCAGGTCAACCCATCCGACGCGTCTTGGGGTAAAGGTCGGAATGCAGCGCCTGCTCATGGGGATGAATATTGGTGTCAAAGGGCAAAGAGGATAAGATAAGTATCAATCGGCCACCGCCGATCCTACCACCAGGCATTTTCCGTCCTTTGGCAGGTATGCTGATGCCTTCTGCCATTTGATCTTTGGTGACAATGTGGTGCCGAAGATAAGCTTGCGTCGTCCACCAATCCCAGCTTCTTGATGGGCGGGACGTGCATATGGCTGCATGTCACTCATTCTCATCTTATCTCAACTACCGGGAGCACGATTGAGATGTGTTGACGACGAGGTTCGCCGGAGACATCGTCGAGCTTATCCAGCAGTTCGACGCCGGTGTTGCAATCATCCGTTTTAAGGCACACAGGCTACCGGCCGATATATTTACTCACTCGAACTGAAGGCTGAACTTCCTTCCCTTGCCTGAATTTGGGGCACATATTGAGCATAAGCCGATTGGAATGTCATGGCAGAAAAGACGAAGTATGTCGATCGGGTGATTCCCGAGGTGTGTCCCCATCCCATTTTCTCAGATGACTGTGATAATGAGAGAACTGATTAAAATCTTTCATCCAACAGATCTCCCTCCATGATTTCGACAGTCGCATCGATGAAATCACGTCACAGCTATGTGACGCCGCCGAGAACGTCGGCTTCTTCTCCATCAAGGATCACGGTCTCAGCCAATCCGAAGTCGATGAGATGTTCTCCGTGTCGGAGTCCTTTTTCGCTCTACCAGATGAAGCAAAAGCCACCGTGCCGTGGAGTCCCAAAAACGTCGGCTGGGAGAAGCTGTCGCAGATCAGACCGTCTACGGGTGCAGCCGACCAAAAGGAGTCATATCAACTTCAATTTGGGGAGAACATGAACGGTGTCTGGGCTAGCGATGACATTCTTCCCGGCTTCAAGGAGAAGTCTTTAGCCTTCATGCATCGCGTGCAAGTCATCTCGGAAAGATTGATGCTCTGCCTGGCCCGGGGCCTTGGCTTTGAGGACGACTACTTCATCAAGTATCACGATGCCGCTCATCCCGGCGCGCAGTCTGTGCTCCGGCTTCTGCATTACTTCGAAACTCCGCGGGTCAATGACGGGAAGGTGTACCATCGAGCAGGCGCCCACGCAGACTGGGGCTTTCTCACGCTGCTGTTCCAACGAGAAGGGCAATCAGGACTTGAGATTTGCCCTGGTCGTGAGGCGGTCAGCCAACATGCCCTCGGGGACGAATGGACAAAGGTCGAGATCAAACCAGGGGTCATCATATGTAATATTGGTGACTTGCTGATGAGTTGGAGCGACGATCGATTCAAGAGCACTTACCATCGGGTCAAGGCGCCGTGTGAGGAGGGGGATTACTACGGGGAGAGATACAGCATGGCTTTCTTCAATCAGCCATGCAAAGAGGCTATTGTTCAGGGCCCGTTGAAGAAGTATCCGATGGTTACTGGGGAGGAGTTCAACCGCAATGCCATGGATAGGATGTACGCGGCTTTGCAGGCGAAGATCGCTGGGAACGAGATCAAGACTTAAAGATCGAGAGCAAGACTGGCGACGGAAGGAGTTGGATAAGGTGGCAATTGCGTCGACCCCCGGGGGCGAAAAGATTTCATTTCTCTCGGTCGTTCCCTTCTAAAATGCCAATTGACGCATCCAAACTCATTGCCGCCCATTTTGGGCAAAGTGCTCGGAGAGTCTTGCCCAGCTTGAATTGAGATGTTACTTCCAGACGAAGGGGACGTCCCTCTCGCTCATGGAAACTTCCTTCCATCCAGATATTGAGACGTCTTTCCAACCTAGTGAGTCGCAGCTGATGGTTCCCTTAAAAGATCGGCAGTCGTTTCCAGAGAACACAACGTAGCCTCTTCCAGTCTCCCGAATAGGTGTCGGTGACGTCTGATGGTCTAAAGAGGAGGTCGCGGTAGGTGTGACGTCCCCATTCCATTGGAACCAGAATTTTGGAGAGCGGAAGCTGTTTTTCTCGAAGTTTTTGAATCGCTTCTGCTCCTCGACCTCGCTCTCTTCGTCGTCGTCCTCTTCCTCTTCTTCTATTTCTTCGTTGGCTTCCTCCTCCTTCTTATCGATGCCCTCTCCTTTCGTCTCAACCTTGCTGATTTTGTTTTCTGAGCCCGAGCCATCATTCTCATCGGGATTATCAGAGGCTTCAGCCTCTTCATCGTTCCCTTCGAATTGCGATATCAGGTCTTCGAGAACCTTTCTGCTTCCCGTAAGAATAACGCTAGCTTCGAGCACCCCAGGCAGGCTTAACTGTCCCAGCAGCCCCCTCCCGTCGTCCGAGAGCCGAAAGATGTCCATTGCCGGGCTGGAAAGATTCCCATTTCTCTCCCCGGATATGAATCCTCTTACTTTGGTCGCACTTGGGCACTTGATGTCGTATCTGCCAAACGCTCTCTTTACTTCAAAGGCTCCACCGCGTCGCCCTCGTCCGCCCCCCTTACTTGACTTGTTTGCTCTGTTGTGAACATGTCTCGACGTGAAAGCTGCTTCTTGCCAATCGTCCATTGCGTGTAGTGTGTTTGAATCGATTGAGTTACTTGATATGTGTATTCTTAGTGAGTGCTCAGTTGCGGTCGGCTCATTCACACTCAATTGCTGCTGTCCGAAATGGGAGTCTTGACGTCATTTCTTCAGTGGCTCAATTGACCCGAGCGCCCGGCTTTGAGATTTCTTCACATAACAACTAGGGGAAGAACTTCAGGGCCTGAGATCTTAAGGAGGAGAATCAGAGATATAAATGAGAATCAGAACTGATTTACGAGAATCCTCATTCATGGGGCTCATTTGGTCGTTGGCGAATTGAGCTGCTCGGTGAGATTGAGTGAGCAGTTGACGGGGTGCGCGCTCACCAGCCTGAATGAAACATGATGAGATGAACCAGCCCATTGAAGCTAGCAGGCGTGAATCTCACTCACTATCGTTCACTATTTACCTGTTGTAAGTTTGAAAGTTTTGCGACACTCGAAAGCGACTCTAGAATCAGGCCAGTCTAGCCCTTGCGCCGCGATGGGGTCGTTGAACGATAGATCGAAGCCATTGCTCGTGGCCCACGATCTGACGGGCGGAGCCGGCTACAACGTTGACGTGCCGAGCCCACCAACGCTACTTAGCGCAAGTCATCAAAGACACTGGACTTTGTTCTGACAAGAAGACTGACAAGGCGAGACTGCGACCTGTGGATGAACCTTCTCGGCCGGGTTGCTCCCGGACCCGTCAGTGCACGCGTTACATCAGAGGTCGCATGCCCTCTCGAACCTTTTCCTCATTGCCTTACCTCACTCACCGAGAGAGAGCGAGAGCGTGGAGTGAGAGAAGAGAGTCTAGACCTCGTGGAAGTAACCTGTTTCCAAGTTCCAACCCCTGTCCCTTACGGCTGACTCTTGTGAGTTCTCGAGGCTTCCCCCGCAATGAGCCGCTGGTGGCCCCTCTTCGCCGCTGCGCATCACCGGGGTGTGACGTCAAGCCCGCCAACACAGGAGCATTTCCCTGCCCGCCCAATCAGACGCGCAACGCAACGCAGCAAAACCCAGGATTTCTTGTTTTTGGACGACTCCGTCACACGCAATGCCGCTGCTCAGGGAGGCCAGAGCTCTGAGCGACATCATAAAGCTCTTTGGCGCACTTTCTTACTTGCTCCCGTTCCCCTCACACCACTGACCTTGACCTTTGATCATTGAAACCCCGCGATAGACCAGTTCCATCACACACAGGAACTCGAACCAGTCTCGAATACACAGAAAACACCTTAGAAAGAAAAGAAACAACACGAAAGCAACACCGCCACAATGTCCGACGACGAGAACAAGGGATCGGGAACCATTTACTCCCGCAACAAGGAAGACACAATCGAAGCCGAGACCCTCCTCTGGCGCGCAATGTGCGACAGCAAGACAAAGCACCTGAAAAGATACCTCGACAAGGAGGCCGTCCTCGCCCACCCGGGCCAGAAGCCCCTCTCGCCCAAATCCAAGCCGACACTCCAGGAGTACCTCGAGGAGGACTGGGAGCCCTGGACGGCGTACCGCATGCACGACGACCCCGAATTTGTCGAGATCGACATGATGAGCTCCAGCCTGGTGTACCGCGTCACCGCCTGGCGCCAAGAGGGGAAGAAGCTTGTCGCGACGGAGGGAATTTGCAATAGTGTTTGGAAGCAGGAACCTGGAGGTGATTGGACTTGCTGCTGCCACCACATGAGCACTCTTTGAGCGTATCTCATGAGAGGTGTTACAGGAGTTGATGCATGATCTGGACGGAGAAGGGCGTTTTGTAAGAGTAGCGGCATGGCTCGCGGGCGCTATTGTTCTGGTATGATAATGATTTATCGTAATGGCATTTTTCTTGACTCGAACTATCGCATCTTATTCATTTTGAATGTTGCATATCCGTGTTTTGGTAATAATTACGGGCAATGGTGCTCGTGGCCCTTTCTCGCAAGGTGTTTCACTGGCAAGGCGTGTGCGCGTGTGGTCAGGTATGCATCGTCTAATGAGCTTGGTAGTCGCGATTTTGCAGCGCAGGAGATGAGTGATGAGAGCTTCTTTCGGCATCCTAAAGAGAAATTTGTTGCCAAAATGTGTCCGGGATGGAAAGGCATGATATGATGTCACTGGATGAGCTTGCGTTGGAGACTGTGGGGAAACTTGGAAGCCCTTTAGGGCCTCTACAAGTAAGCCAGATTGATGATGAAGCATAACGGGATGATGCCCATGGAAGAAGAGGACAAAAGCAAAGAATCAAATCAGAAACATGGCGAAGTGAGGGCCAAGTAAGAATGGCTTTCCAACGCAGACGTTAGGGAGTTTTCATTTGGGGGACACAATGCTGTCGCCGGCGTCCGCAACGGATTTGGCCCCGGAGCGGGGCCGGTATCCGGGGCCGTCCACTGGAACATCGGCGAATTCGTGCGAGAACCAACGTCCAACTTGATCGAAGACATGTATCCCGAATTTCGTTTGCACTCACCATGGCACTTCAACGACTTCAAACCTCATATAAGTACCCCTATTCTGTTACTAGCGACAAGACAGAGCACACTCGAAATGACCGTTTGAAGTTTTTGAATACCTTGGGTAACCGAGTGAGTAGGACCGAGTTAAAAAGGCTAAGTCAACAGACAGTTACTGAACGTTCACGAACTCGGCGTCATCTCCAATTGAGACATCCTTCACAGACAGATAGGCCACTCCAACCCTCTCAACCACCTTTTCCTCCCCTAATCCCTCAACTGGTGTAACAATAATAGCATAGTGTCGCAGCGGGTTCCCCCTGTGCTGCTTGTTCGAACCAATAATGACACACATGAGCGGCCGGGGCAAAACCCGGTTTGGCTCGTCCAAAATCATTCCCGCTGGGTTGTCTCTCATCAGTGTGCGGACCGGTGCTCGGAAGTATACCTTCTCCGAGGCGTGGGAAGTCATATGCGAGATGCCTTGCAACGATCTTTCGAACGGAGATGAGATGCCCTTGGTCCTCTCGAGGTCGCCAAGAGCAACATCCATGTAGCTTATTCCTCTATCAAAGGCCATCCACGACCAAGAAGGAATTCGTTCTCCGGAAGGAAAATTGATTCGCCTCAAGGTTGTTCCAGAGTATCGACGCTGCCACAAGAGATCTCTGTGGAAGTTTGACTGGAATACTCCGTAACCCCCAGTTGAGTTCAGTGCCGTCATCAGTCTCTTTTCGAGACCTGCAATGGCTCTGGGTTTGTCGGTCAGGTATGACAGTCCCAGAGACGAGTAACGCTCGTAAAGGTCATGATAGTGCTACAGTTGCCTCCCTTGTTTAAAAGACTCGACAGAGTGAGGGAAGTTGGAGTCTCCGAGGAAGGCCGCTTTTCGGCTTACCTTTAAGTTAGCCTTTTAATCAATTGCTTTGACAAGAACAAGGAGCTCACTTGAATGTCTTGGTGAATGTCTCGCATCGTATGCCTTCTCCGCATTCCCAGTACGTTTGGTTGCTCGTGAAATGAAGGGTCCTCCTCGAAAGCGCACGTTCTTGCAGTACCCAGCCTCTCTGGTTCAGGTCTCCTTCCTCCACATCGGTCTCGAACTTGTCCACGATTTCACAGACGTGGAATTGCGCGCCGTCTTTTGCTCTCATTGTGATAAATTCTCTCGGTACGCGCGGCTTTAGGAAGCCTTCAAATCGGTGGCTGGCGCAGCTGGCGGCAATGGTGACATATGCGGAGCCGAATATTTCTTCCATAAGCTCCGACTCTCTCTCCCAGTCAGCCTTCGAGGCAGAGTCATGTTCCGGACCACGACTCTGAAGGATGCATAGCGAGTCGATCCAGAGATACTTCACTCCCAGTTGCCTGGTAATGATCACTGCGTCGCGGAAAGTCCTGGGCAGAGAAACATCCTCTACCCCTTCCGGTGCTTCTATCAAGCGGATGTTTTCAGTGGTCGTCGTGGTGAATTTGTCCTCGACATTTGAGGCTGTTCCCCAGCGATGTGATAGGGCAACGTACACCACGGGAAGGGCGTCCTTTGCGAGGTTGGATACCAGTTGAACACAAGTGGAGTTCAAATCGCCAACGAATAGAAGCCTATTGGGGATGAAACTTCCACCGACTGAGAAGTGATGCGCACGATCGCAGCTTCTAATCCACTCGGCGAGGATGCTTACATGAGTCCTATCTCCAGGTACAAGGGAGAATGGAATACCAAGCTTTACTCCGTTAAGCTTCAAAACCTTTGAATCTACAGCGTGAACGTCAGTGCGGTGCGTCATAAGTAAGTGGCAAGGATTAGACCTACCAGCTAAACGACAGAGTGTCAAAATTGGATCCCAGTGTCTTTGTCCAAACGTAAGATCTGAGCCAGTGCGCATGAACGTGATGCGTTCACCGCGACGCGCCGCTCGTCTGAACATTGCACGATGGAGGAGGTGGCAAAAGTCACATGACTTTGATGAAAGCTCCAAGCCGGCGAGTGTGTCTTCAAACTTGCATGCCTCAGACCAAATATGGAGGTCTTGACATCTTGAGCATAGGTTGGAATCTTTGAGTTTGGCGCACTTCTCGACCCTGTCTGGGATTATGGCTACAGCTGCTGCGTTGTCTGCGTTGTAAGTCCAAACATCATCGAGCTGTAAATGAGACAATGAGAACTCTTAGGTACTAAATCGTTATATTGAGGGAAGACGTACGGGCTTTTTCAAGTCAGTCCATTTTACCGAACAGTCTCGTTGCAAATATTGAGGTTGACCAAGAGGGAGATACTCACAGTCTGGTTGAAGGGCCGAAATAGGTTAGCGAAGCACCTTCCGGCTAAAAGGTCACGTCGTTATTCACTTACAAACTAATAACAATCAAAGAAAAGCATCGTTAGTCGTATTCTAAAGCAGCATTTGTTCAGATCATACCGTCTGCCCCGTTGCAAATCATCCTTGTCAGCTTGGTAGTGACCATGCTGCTTCTGAAGGCTCACTCAAATACTGGATTCTTGTTAGCGAAATTTGATCCAGCGTTGCGTGCGAGTCCCTTTCTTTTGGGCAAACGATTGAAAGACTGGTACTTCAAGAACTTACTCTCTAGTTTTGATCAATCAACAACGCGTCAGTCGCGTCACCAAGTGGTAATGTTTCACGTCATCGCTTCTGCAGACTTACATCGCTACTCTGTCTAACGTGAGCAAAAGATGACTGAAGATGAGTCTCAAATTTGACCCACATCTGTTATGTTTTCAAGAGACTCACGTGTTCTTGGAGGTCTTCTGCTGTCGCCAGGGGCAAGGCCCTTGGAGATGTTAGGCGGCCCACGTGCAGAAGCTTCCGTATCCCGAGTCATCCATGTCGGATCCTTATTCTGCTCGTTGGCATCGAATATCTTCTGCATCTCCTTGTGGACTTCCTTGGCGTCGGCTCTTTGCGGAAGTTCCTCTGAAAAGTCTGTAGCTTGTCTGATAAGGACCATGGGAGCTATCGACTGCTCCGTGTCCGAGCCTTCACGGGCTGACATCCCACGTTTCGTGGCTCGGACGACCAGCATTCTCTCTTCTATCAGAGTGACTAGACGTCCAGCGGCAGTCCTCTCGACGGGAGCGCAGCGGGGATCAATTTTGATCGCCTTGATCCATTCTTTCACGGCATCTTTGAGATCGACAGGCGGGTCTTTGGCGAAGTAGGGCTCTCCAGGTCCGACATCTAGATGAAAAGACTTCAGCGCATTGTAGCCATACATCATCCAGATAAGGGACTCAAGATACAGACAACCGAGGGACCAGATGTCGTATCGCCTTGTTCTGGCTTGTTTGATGTCCGCCTCTGGAGGTGAGTACATTGTCGTGCCTTTGGGTGTAGCCGTTGGGTAACCTCGGAACTCAGTGGCTTTCTCATGTACTTTGGCATGCCCAGCATCAGCGACAACGAGCCGTACGCCAGTCGGAATTTTGCCTTCGCCAATGTCATCCTCCTTCTTGCTGAAACACAAAATGTTCTCCGGCTTCAGGTCGCCGTGCCTGCAAGACTGATTTCGGTCATTCACCGGATGATGAAGGTTGTTTATAGCGCTTGCAAGACCGAGCAGCTGCTCAAAGAACCATTCCAGATAGTTGTTCCAGTCTTGAGTGCTGATCTCATCTGATGCAGCGCTCAAGCTAGGTTGAACTTTCCAAAAATTGCGCAGGTTGCCACCTCTAGCCCAAGGAAAAATGAAGAAATGCTGATTTCCCTGGGTGTAGCTAGCAATTGCTCGAATGAAGTGTGGGTGGTCTTGTTTTCTCAGACCTGTAAGGATAGTCGCCTCGTTCTCGGCCAGCTCTTGAAACTTCTCTGCCGGTAAACCTTGCGCAGACAATAGTTCTTTCACAGCGACATGAGGATTGCCATCCTTATCTACTATTGTTCCCTAAGAGTAAGTCAGTCAACGTTATCCTGAGAGGCTTGAGCGTAATCTTACAATCTGATCGTCGCGGGGAAAGTTGAGATGGCTTCGGTGAATGACGAAATGCCTGACAATGCTGAAGTTTGTCACTTGGGATTCGAACTCTTCCACGAAGGGCATTCGGCAGAGTGGATCAAATACATGGGCTTCGTCATCAGGAGAGAATATTGGCACAAATATAAGCCATTGGTGGTGGTCGCAGAAGGTGGCAAGTGAGTCCTGGTCGCTTGCGCTGATCCCATTAACTTCTCTCTCGGTAACCTCAAAGCTGATTGTCGTGTCAGTTTTACACGACTTCAAGGCCCAAACATTAGAGATTCTGTCGACACTGAAGTTGATGGGAAAATTCTCATCGCCGAAGTCATTAGAATGAAAGAGTGATAGCCACTCGAAGTGTTCCTGGCGGACAAGAAGAGAGAAGAGCCTCTTGGCCTTTGCGAATATGAAGCCGCGCACCGTATCCTCCACGTCGAACCTCTGGCAGCTCTCAAGTATCTCGTTGATTGATGAAATGGGTATCCACTTGTACTTCTTGGCGTCTCTTTTGCACATTATCTCCACTTCCGCATCTCTGAAGGCTGACTGAAGGGAAATGAGGGAGGTCGAGAGGGTGTTCATGTTGCGTGTCGTCTCGTGGTCATCAAGGAATTTCGAGCTAGATTCTGTCATTTTGGCATTCATCTGCTCAGCAGCATTCAGTCCCTTTTCCGATGGCATCGTGTCTTTGGCCTCTTCGAAGTTCAGAGAAATCTTCCCCATTTCACTATCCATACCACTAGGCAACGACGTTTGGGTAATACTTTGACTTTTTTGCATCCCATTCGAAGAGAGCCCTGAATCGACTGAGTCAATCTCTTGTCGGAACAGGTTCGCATCTACACTTAGCATTCGAAAGCAGAGCACTTTCAGATGTTCGGCGATATGATGAGACAGATTTGTGTTGATGGCTTTTAGCGAAGGCCTTTGGGGTAGAGGACGGCTTGATATCTTCGAGGAGACGCCCGAGGTCTGTTCGTGTTCTTCAAACCCGACTACAGGAGTCCTTGCTGTGTCTCTGGATTCTGGAAGTTGAGTCTCGTTGCTGGCGTTACTTTGATGTGACTCTGATGGATCGTAAAGACACATGGGGCATGAGGGTGTATCTTTGCCTTCTTGGAAAGCCCCTCTGCATGTTATTGCTCGAAGGTCCAGAATCCAATGGGTACCATGGGTATTATCCATATGTTGAAGCCAATCAGTGTGATTGGAAAAAGTCATTGGTGGCTGGGAACATTCGTCTGAGATACAGACATAGGGTTGCAGATCGTCATCAACGTGTTTTCTATGTTGCCAATCAGCTTGAAATATATCTCACTAGACAAAGTGCCAGCATATATTCACCTCCACCACGTTGAGTTCTCGTATTGTTTGTAGGGGATCATGTCTTCGCAAAATGGACATGGAGCGCGTCCAATCAGAGTCTCTGAAGCCGACATGGAAGTAGCCTTCGGTGCCTTGGGGTAAACAGTATTCTTCGTCCAGGACGAGTAAGTCTTCTCAGAGGCCGGAGAAGGCCCAAAGAAGCTTGATAGACCATTGGCGAAGAATTTGCTATCCATCGTTGACGGTGGCAGCAACTCATTTGGCACATGATTCGCCTGTGACGAAAGCTTCGAGCGTAAATTTTGATCTAGCTGTCGCTGGGATCCGTCTCCCGCTGACTCGAGAGTCGAAATATTTTTTTCATCAGCCTGTACTTGAGCCCCACGAAGACAAGAATCTTGGAGGGCCACTAGCCGAGTATACGCAACACGTTGCTTGCGATACAACACGGATCTGGAGAGCTTCGTGACAACTTGTTCGCTGATCCCCGGCCAAAGACGGCTAACAATAGCATGAGCAAGAGATTCGAACTGACTAGCATCTGTTACGAAGCTCATATTTGAGCCTGCGATTGGGTTCCGATTTAGTGCTTCCAAACGTATTCGACGTCCTTTCCGAGAGGAATGATCGATTAAAGAAGCAACCAAGTCAAGCCTTCGAATGGCAGCTTCAAGCCCTTGAAATACGTATTTCAAGTGCTCCAGACTCGGAACCGATGAATCTATGTTGACTGAATGAGTGAAGTGAGAACTTTCGTCGGTAGCTGAAGGACTCAAAGCCCCTTCTGAAGAAACGATGGTGTCGAAGTCGACTGCTGCATGCTTTTGTCAGTGCTTCAATTAACGAGCTATTGTAATTATCATGCGAACCGTGAAGGGCATACCGGCTTGCAGGTTGTCTTCTATCAGGTTCAGGAGAGTCAAAATCATTTGCCTAGGTTTTGCATGATTGAGCAAGCGTCCGTCCAAGGATAGGCAAGGCTCCGCAAGCGCGCCAGCATTGGAAGCCCAAGCCCAAAAGCGTTGTTGGAACTCTTTCAGTGCATATTTACCGCCCTGAATTTTGGATATTGAGTGCTCAAATACCTCATCGCAGTGAACGGTCGCTTCATGGACTTCATTCAATTGGCAGTAGTCCATGCTCAATGAATGTTTAAGGAATATTTTTTCAATTGTTTCGTTAGAAAAGCTCAACTCCGAATTCGCCTGGAGCACGCGATGCTACATGTAACGAAGAAGAGCACCTCAACGATATGTAGGTAAGTCGTCATCAGCTTTGTTTAGTGCTTCATGGCTTCCTGACTACCATGTGATGTAAATTGCCCCTCCTTCTCACACCGCCAAGAGAACGGGTTCGAACCAATAGAATGGGTCTGACGGCGAGAGTGAGCGATGCTGCTACGTGCAGCTATGCATGTCTATGCCTGTGCATCATCACCTGCATGAATGCCCAATCTTAAGTATCAAATCAAAGTACGAAATTATCCATGCAGGCAGAGATGCATTCTAGTATGCCACTTTTCGCTGCGGGCACCTTTGTTTAGAAGATCAGCCCATCCTGCAGCTCACAGGTAGGCTTTTCGTGTCCATCTGCTGCATACGGCCTTTGCAAGGCGGAGACCCCAAACTGTTTTGTTGTTAACCTCGTCACCTTCTCAACGCGCAGCTAGTAAAAAGAAAATCCGAGCTTGATCAATTTTCTTAGGCAGCATCGGAGTCAGAATGCCCAGTACGCGTCCAAGGTCGATTCGTTGGAGCCCTTCAGAGCTGGTTTCCAAGACCAAACAAATTATCGCATCAATCGACACAGATCTTGAGAGCTGGTTTGGTGTGTCATCTGGGGACTCTCAGCCGAGATCCACATCCATCTATGGCAACGATGAGGACGACGAGGACGGCTGGGTAAATATCAATGTATTATCAAACGCTCACGACAGATTCGAACACTTTCAGATGAGCGAGGGGTCGAAATGGACGACAGCACCACCTGATAATGGCATCCTACGTCAAACGCGCGCTCGGTTCCTGCCTTCCGCAACGATGAACCAACGACGGGAGAAATCACATCATGTGAAGAGGTGTTTGGTGGATGCCTCTGAGAAGCTCTACTGGGCGCTAGTCAAACAATCCACATGTTGTGCCAGTAAACACGTCGCCCGCATCTGCCTCGATGGTTTCCCGGTACATGAAGACAACCGTGAAGCCTCCAACGCTCGTCAGTTACGTCTATTCCTATCTTACCAAAATGGAAGCCAGCCATTCGGTTGGCATGGAGTTCGATGCATTTTGGAAAGGTACGTGCATAGTGGTTGTCAATCACAGGATACACCCAAGTATGGTCAGACTAAATTTCGCTAGCGACAAAAGCGCCAGCCGCGTCTCGACGGACGAGTCAGATTTATGCTCACTTTTGAAAAACTGTGCACTCAATAGAGAAGGCTTGGACATGACTCTCTATCAATCCTCTGACAATACTCCCGTGGTGCGCGGCACCCTAAATGAAGATCGGCGAACGACCCAACCAGCGATCGCACTCGGGTACTTGATAGATCGAAAAATGCTCTCTTGGTCTCGTGGGGCCCAAATCCTTCCAGTGAACAGAGCAACAATATGTTTGAATCTCTCGTTGGCTTTCATGCATCTGTCAAGCGAGACTTGGCTCGGAGCAAGGTGGTCGGTCGACAACATCTATTTCCTTCATGACCCCCTTAATTCACCAAACGTTATTCAGCAGCTTGATCATCCTTATCTTTCTAGATCTATCATAGAGAAAGGAGTTGATTCTGGGGATCATCAAACTCAGACTGATTTGAATTACGAGAGAGCAAGCGTTTTATCCTTCCTTCGAGTCGTAATGGAAATCATGGGAGGCGAGAGAGTTCGATTGGAAGCCCACGCCAACGACTTCGATTTGCTGCATAAACTGAGGACAACTACAGACGAAGTCTGTCAAGGGTACCCTGAGCTTTTGGAAGATGTCATTTCGGCTTGTCTTGACTTCTGTAGGTCACCAGACCCAAATCCAGATCCTATTCGTCATAGAACCTGGATATGGACGGAAATTGTGCAACCATTCAAGGAACTTGCAAAAAGCTTCAAGAGGAGACCGCGTCAAAAAGTCGAGTGGAAATCAGAGAGCTGCAAAAGTAAGAGCATCCCTCGGTTTTCAAAGAAGGTAGAATGTCGGTTGATTGAGTCAGAACAACAACCAAACTTCAAGTCCACGAGCCTTGAACATCCGGAAAATCGAGGTGAAACGTTTGACAGGTAGGCACTCTCCTCCAACTTACAACTTTGCGTCACGTAACTAAGTCCGAAAATGATAGCACGCGAGTCGCGTCGGTAAATACCTGGTTTTCACGATTGGGAAAAGTCAACGATGTGCTTGAAATAAGTACCCAGGCTCATAGTCAGAAGACTCGAATTGCGGTCATTGATACTGGCATCGACAAAGATGATCCCAATGCTGAAGAAGTTTCTGATTACAGAGACTTTATCGATGGCAACGATGGGATCAAAGTGGACGACACAGGACACGGCACAGCAATCATAGATTTGATCTACAGAGTCTACGAGCCCGCGGAGATATTTGTGGCAAGAGTATTATCGACTCCAGAGAGGAATGAGAGAATCAGAGCCGATTGTTTAGTTGCCAAAGTAAGTCACTTGCCTGACCTTTGTGTCGAAAGGCACAACAAAAGCTCGAGCAGGCTGACATACCCTCCCTCCCCATCCAGGCAATAGACTGGGCATTGCAGGTGAAGGTTGACATCATCTGCATTGCCATGGGCTTCCAAAGCGTGCAAGGATTTGAGCTGCAAGAAGCTATCGCCAAGGCATCAAAGAAGGGGAAATTGGTCTTCGCAGCTGCCGCAAACGAAAGTCACGCTGACGATGTAGCTTACCCGGCGCGATACAGTCCGAATGTATTCTGCATGTTCTCCACCGACGCAGGTCTCAAGAACTCCAGATCTATCAACCCAAGAAAAGACCCAAAAAGCCACAACTTCGCTATTCTAGGAGAAGATATCAAACTACCTAACGGGAAGCTCGGTAAAGGCACATCCTTCTCCGCAGCCATTGCATCGGGCTTTGCAGCGAGTCTACTGGATTTCTCACGGCAGTCAGATCGCGTCGACTATTCACCAACATTCCAGTTCCTTTCGAGTCAATGGGGAATGAGTAAGGTCTTCTCCCACATTTCTATTGACGATCTCGGATTTGATTGTATATGCCCATGGCATCTTATATCATCCGTGGACCTCAGGCAACAAGTAATACGCCAGGACTATCTGGGAGACGTGAGAGATAAGCAGGCAATCAGAGAGTCAATCCATAGAGATTTGTTCACATGGTTACGTTAATTGATCCTGCCATGGGAAATAGGTCTGAATAGCGAGCAAATATGGGAATTGATATTTTCGAAGCACTAATTAAGCATGCCTGGCGGCTTCGGGGATATGTATTCGAGGGTTCGGATATCGATTCTGCTTAGTTCAGTCTCTCATAAATACATATGGGGAACTATTCGGGAATAAAAAGGAGCAGAGATTCATCTGTGTCTGGTATCTCGTACTCCACGACTTCCAAGCTGTGATACCCTATCTCTGCCATGACCTTTTCCACATCAACGTTCCCGGAATCTACTCCGAATGTAGCCCCTTTGGTGACGGTGCTCTGTTGTACGGAGGAACCCCAAAGTGATTTTCTGATCTCCGTAAGACGCACTGCCCACACAAAGTCTGTGACGTGCTCTCCTGCCATAGCAGAGCCGTTGGACGAGGATGACTGTATTGTCGCCTCCGCAGTGGCCAGCTGAGAGATAGCTCTGATATGGATTTAGAAGTCAATCATGTGTAAAAGGAGAGCATGGTATGTTGGGATAAAACATAAGGATGATTTTCGTACACTTTGGGTCCCAAATTCACCCGGGAACTCTGTATTTCAACGCATTGTGTCTTTCCTCCTCTCGCGATTATGATGCCGGATATCATGTACAGCTTCCACGCAGACAAGTCCAGGATCGATGACTTGTGTTCTTCGATGTAATCTGATACTTGACGTGCTTTCAGACTCTGATCAATGTACGTCTTCGTAGGCTGGATGATCTGCCTGTCCAACCTGTCGAACTGTGCAAAGTTGTTGACAGTCTTCTTGAAGGCGAGCTGTATGTCCCCCTGTGCCGACAAGCCTGGCGCTGAAAGAATTGGGATACTGGCCGCAGTTTTGGCATTTGTCTCCGAATCTCGGGTCTCGGCCCAGTTGAAGTTCTTGTCAACCGTCGGCCAAATTCGCATACCTCTGAGCAGCGGGTGGGGTCCGGAAGAATTGATGACCTGGTCTATGTCTTTGAGCCGTGGAATGATGTGTCCTAGCTGTATGGGGCCTTCTGCCTTTCCTCGGGCCATGTTAGGCGTTGCATATCTGGGGGCGGGATAATGTGCTTGTCGAAGGACAAACCAACATTTATCCTGTGCCATACCGAATATCTAGGGTTGGATGAACCTCGAATCCTTTGGCCAGACTGAAGTAAAGAGATTTGTCGTTAGAAACAACGAAAACGTCAGATCCTCGATAAGTAAAATACTCTGAGCCTATAAATTACGATAAACGTTCGGCCTCAGATAATCAATGAGGTAAGCAACAATAAATGCAAGAGAGTCCTGTTTTACTGAGAACAGCAAGTGCATGCGATTCGTTCATCGGCCAATAGATGCTCAGTGCAATGGTGCCCAACATGCAAGCCCATTGCTTATAGCATATGAGTGGAAGCGGAGCTATGATGCATCAAAACTTGGCATCAGCAGTGTGATGGGTTGCCCCGCACATGCGGCCAACAACGGCTGCCAGCAGGCTTGGACTTAGTGTAACACAGATACACCCTTTTGTTGGATGCCAAGAAATCTAAGGAAAGCACCTTTCTTTTAGCTCATCTGGACCTCAAAAGGTACATGCATAGCTCATGTAAATGTGCACATGCGTATCGTCCCGTGGCAAGCCGAACCTCTCATTAGTCCGCACTGTCCAGGTTTGATTGGCGTGATGCACGGTGATATTGGCGTGAGGACGTAAACAGTACTACTGTATGAATAGCCAATCGAACATTGGCGCCCAAAGCGCGTCTGGTTCTGCCCGCGTAATGTTGGGCGGCCATACCGCCAGACTGCTTACACTAACTTCATAAAGGACGCGGCTGCAATCGAGCAGGAACCAACCAAACAACCAACCGTCTACCTAGTAGATGAACTTACCCGGCTGTGGTTGAGTTGCAGCTGCCAATATGGCAGGCAACAGAACGCGGGGGTGCGCCCAAGGCAGCCAAGATGTTATCGCCCTCGCCATCGGTTCGATCGACAGCGTACAATATATTGCGGGGGCCATTATTGATAGCGGCGACCTGGATGCGAAGCCATTCTGCAGGAATCTTTGCCTCGCCCTGGATGGCGTCAAAAAGGAGCTGCAAAGGCCCAATCAAAGCCAAAACGAGGCTCAGCTGAAGAAGGTGAAAAGCCTGCTAAACAATTTGGAGAGATTGTGCAACGTGCGTCTTTCTTCTTCTTCTTTGGTTTGCCTGGCTGCCTGCCGGGACGTTGGCCTGAGCAGGCGTGCGGAATTCCAGATACAACCACGAATTTTCGTGGCTCTTTACCCCCTCCTGCTGGCTGGACCATTTACTATGCTAGGTAGTTTGGTAGAAGATGGAGATGCACCATGAAGCCAGGCTTTTGGATCCTGTGGCATTCTCAATTTTCAAGTCGAGGAGCTACTCTGGCTAACCTAAACATAGTGGCCACGTCGGAGCCAGCATATAGCAAATCAGTGGCTCACGCTGGAGGCTATCCGCTCCGGTTTATCTACAGAAAAGGCAAGAAATTGCCTTTTTAATGTTGCCGTGGAACCCAACAAAAAGTACTACAGGGCGGATGCGATCAAGAAACTAAAGAACTATTCGGCAGCGACTTGGAAGCAGGAGGCGGCCGAAGCGGCGCAGATCAACGATGCCTCGGCGACCTCCCCAGCACCCCATAATAGCCACGAGCTCGACGATGACATCCAGTACCTTTACAAAATTCTGAAGCAGTATCGGTCGTGCCAAAGTGATCCATCTCCTGTCGATATCGTGATCAATCTCCGGCTTAACGGCTACAGAAACCTCGCGGCAAGCGGTGCCTCGGTCAAAATTTGGGCAGAGAATGCTTCGGCGGAATTCGGCGTTCTGTTACTCGACCACCCGCACGAAAACCAAGGCTTCTGGCAAGAGGCCAGCATCCGAACAGTGTCCCCTTCAGGCCCAGAGGCTCCAACCATGTATGATTCGACATAGCAAAACAAACCCCCCCCCCCCCCCCTTCTTTTGGGTAACCAGCAATGTCCTCGCTGACTACATGACAGAAAAGTTATTGATGGAGATGTGGCGCCCGGAGCTATAGATACGCTCGCGACGGAGTCGATAGCTGAGCACGGCTGCATTCCCTTCGAGGGCTTCTGTGAACGCATTAGCAAGCGCGGCCAGGGCCGGTTGCGCCTGTCCACGCGGGACTATAAATTGGTATATCATAAACGAGTCGATCTGAGCCGCGAATGGCTACCTGATGTAGAGGCTGTACCATTGGCAAGCCTCTTCTCCAGGTCGGGTCTGTATCTGCTTGACAAGTCTAAGGCAATCTTGGCGATGTTGGCGGCCAAGGCGACGTGGGAATTTTATGACAGCGACCTTCTCGCCCAGGGGCTGACGAGCGAAACTGTGCAGTTCATCTGCGAGAAGCGATCTGGAATATCAGGAGTCTTCATCAACGAGCCGATGCTGCTGATCCAGTACATGAAAGAGGATGGCACAAGCATCGGGGATGGTAAGTCTGACAGCCGCTTGGCCATGCCGAGTAGCGAGATCATTCATGAAATGCCCCGGATCCTTGCGCTCGGTATATTGCTCTTGGAGCTAGAGACCCGGAAACCCATGATGACGCACCGGGAAAACCGCAGACTTTGCCCCCCGGGGCCGTTTAATATCAACACCGATTACAAGATCGCCTGCAAGCTCATCGCTACTGGCTCCGATGCGAGTGAGAGTATTATATCCGACATAGAACCTCTTTCCCCCCTGAGGAAGATCTTGCCTCTTTGCATCACGGCAGGGAGTCTCGAGAGGAAGATCCAGGAGAATATCAGTGCTCGGGGCTTGGCCAAACCCGCTTCTCAAGTCAACAAGCAGAATGTCCTGCGTTCTGTTATCTACAGCGAGCTGGTTCGCCCCTTGGAAGACTGGGTAAACCGATATGACAATCTCGACAGCATCAAGCCTATGTACGAGGTTTCGGATGCGCCGGCCGGGCCCAGATCTGAGCGACCGCCGAAGCAACCCCAGACAACCTCTCAGGCGAAATCCCAAGCCAATGTGGCGGAGAATGATAAGTACGTCCGTTCTAGCCATCTTACATGCTCCATTGATCTTGCCTGGCTGACGTGGGGCAAGATTACGCGAACAATCGCGAGAGTGGTTCCGGAGGTATGAAGAACTCCGAGACGTTCTGCAGCCAACAGAAGAAGAGAAGAAGTCGGGTTACAAAGCCGTGAAGATTGCCGTATTAGACACCGGCATTAGGCAGGACCTCTACGATTACTTCAAAGAATTTCCAGGGGCTTTAGAGTATGAGGACTTTATCGACACGACCCGTCAGAATAAGGACACCACCAGCGATGGCACGGGGCACGGGTCCGCTGCTGTGCTGCTCCTGGAAAAGATGTGCCCAAACGCAGCTTACTACGTAGCTAGAGTGCTCAAGGAAAATATCGCAATGCGGGCCGATGCCGACTTAATAGCCAAGGTGAGTACTCCTCCCTCTATCCCTTTTTGACCCTCTGGACCAACTCTACACCCTCACCCTGCTCACTCCACCCAAATCGCTAACCAAAGAACCTCTTCACCTTTGCTTTAATTAGGGCATTGACTGGGCTATTGATCAAAAGGTAGATATCATCACCATGGCCATCGGCTTCAAGGCGGCGCAAGATGCCGTGAAGGAGGCGGTCCACCGGGCGCACACGCAGGGCATCCTCATCTTCTCGGCGGCCTCCAACAATGGCAGACTCGAAGATGCGTACTGCCCCGCCAACATGATCGATCAGGTGTTCGGCATCTTCTCGACCAACGGAGTCAACTGCGAGTCCCACTCGCTGAACCCGGCGCCGCTGCCAGGGGCATGGAGCTTCGCCGTCTTCGGCGAGGGCGTCGAGGTGGAGGAGGACCGCCCGCTGTGCAGCGGCACCTCGTACTCAACGTCGGTCGCGGCGGGTCTGGCAGCCGCTCTGCTCGACTTCTCGCGGCAGGATCGGGCCAAGGATGACGGGTCCATCTTCTCCCGGCTTGGTAGCCGGCCGCACATGCGAAGCGTGTTCCGAGAGATGGCAGTGCCCGACCGGGGGTACCTCTGCCTACGACCGTGGTTGCTGCTGAAGAGTGGGACGGCGTCCGAGAAGGTGCCGCGTAATCAGCAGCGGGACTGGATTCGGGGCAGCGTCGAGCGGTGGCTGGACCCCAATAGGCCCCAACGGGCCGGGTAATCCTGAATGATCACTTTACTTTTTCCTTCTTCCTATATCAATTCAGGGTTTCTCTATTTGGATATGGCTCTCCACACAGCAAGTTCCTTCTGCATACATATGAATTCCACATGAGAAAGCCAGGGCGTGTACCCAGGGATACAAGGCTAAGCATCATGCGTCGCGTTGGGAACCATCGTAATAAAGGACCACGTCTCGGTGCCTCCTAAGGCAGCCGGACACTCGGTTACCACGGCGTTGCCCAGCCCCTCGTGCTCCAAGACCTCTTGGATCTGCTCCTCGCCTTCCCCGTCTCCGTCCAGCGCCGCGCCGGCCGTTTCCTCTGTCTGCATCCACTTCCGGCGGAGCAGCCCCTTATGGATTTTTGCGAATCGCACGGCCCACACTCGGTCGCCCTGGATCTGGGCGGACTTGTGGGTTTCTGTGCTGTTCTTGTGCGTATCGCCGGTTTTAAAATTGGCGGCGCCGGCAATGTCCCTAGCCAGAGACAAGTACATACAAATTAGTAATTGGGCCGTTGAGAAAACGATTAGGGCATAGAGTGCCAAAACTATCCCCAAGCATATGAATTGGCAGGCGGCAACTTACAGGTCGATGCCGCTGTGGAAGGCCTGGGAGTTCATCTTGGAGCCGCCGATCGAGCCGCCAGCCCGCGCAATCATCAGACCGATGACCACGTAGACGGTCCACCGGTCCAGGGGCAAGGTCTTATGCTGTTCGATGTGGTTCTGCACGTCGGAATGGGCGATGACGTTGGCAATGTAGGTGGTACTCGGCTGCACAACCTCTGTGTCGAGCGTTTTGAAGTTGGCCCATGTCTTCATGGTTCGCTTGAACTCGGCGCTGATCTCGGCGCTCAGGGTGGCGCCTGCGGCCGCGGCAGCCGGGGCCCCGGCGCCGGCATTCACGCTGTCTTCGCGCTCGTGGGTCTGATCCCACTTGAACTCGCCGAGCTGGGTCTGTGTGATGCGCATCTCGCGGCCGAAAAATGGCAGGGTGCCCTGGGTGAGCACAGGGTAAATGTTGTCGGGGCTAGGCACCACATCACCGAGACGCAGGTTACCGCTCTCCGTCTGGCCACGGGCCCGGGAGGTATGGGTATAGACCGGGGCGGTATAGAAAGACTGCTCGAGAACGAACCAGCACTTGTTCATTTTGGGCCAAGACTCGCCAATCACGCAACTATCAGCAGACTTTTTGTCTCGGAGGTGATCACGAGCTTAGTAACAAAATTTTGGGTTTCGCAAGAAATGTGTTGTTGGCTAGGAAAAGGCGACTATAGAGCGCAGAGAATGACATAGAACGAGATTGCCGCCAGCCTGCTCTTTAACCCTTTTAACCCCTCTTGCACACGCTGAAAAGTATCAATGCCCGAAAGGCGGGGTAATCTGGCAATTGCCAAGTACAGCTGACGTTTTCAACGGCCAATTACACCTGCATGGTTTGATGGACCCGACCAGAGCGGCTCACTGCTCTCTCTTACGCTCGACTGATTTGCATCCTCATCTGCCTCTGCGAACCTCAGTCAAGAGAGATGGGCGACAATTGAGAACAATAGCAGCGAACAACATGGCCTCCGGAGCTTCAGATGCGTCACTGCACCCCCGTACCGCCGTCTTTCCCGGGTCGGCTCCGCAAGAATCGGCCCCGGTCGCCGAAGCCCAAGTAGACGAGACCGGCGAGCTGAGCGTGACGAAAACAACAGCAGGCGACAGAGGTTTAGAGACGACCGACGAGTTGGTGCTGCGGAAAAAATCTTGGGCTTGCAGAGGGCGATTCAAGGAATGCCTGTCCGTCCTCAACCTCGTCCACCACGACTGGCTGGAGCAGCGATCGGCCGAGTTCAATTGGTGGACCTCGGGCCTAAATGCCGACAAGAACGGGCCGGGATCTCTCGACGCCCGGCTGAGCTTGCGCCCCGACGTCACAGCCGTTATTGTTGATGCACTCGATGGGCTTGAGGATGCTCTGTACACGTACCACAAGTTGGGTAGGTCCCTAGACGGCCCTAAATTCTGCACATCCTGCGCCCGGAACATACCCTTCATCATTTAAGAGGTGCTCATGGGAAGCAACCAGCTGACTTGTGTGCCTTGATATCAGCTACTTCTGATTCTCCCAGTCTTACCGAGGCCGATAGTGATTCCACTGCTTCGGATGGGTTGGACCGTGCGCCATCGCCGTGGTCCGATATGAGCTCCGGCGGCGGGGAAGGTCCCGCCTCTGCCGTTGGCGACGGAGAAGAGGAGGACGAGGAAATAGAGGATGCTGAGAATCAGCATAAAGACGCTCATTTGCCCTTGTCCAGCGACGACTACGTCGAGCAACGAGCATACATTGAGAACAACTTGGTAGTCCTCATCCGCATCCATATCGCCATTAAGCTTTCTGGCCTGAAGCTTAGGAATAAGCGCGCCGACGATACGCTGAAGCAAGCCAAGCAGGATTACGAGCGACAGAAGCTCACAATAGGAGCGCACAAGGCCCTTGCAAGCCAGGACGGAGAGCATGAACGATTCCGACGCTATCTCACCAAGCTGGTGCTACGTAACGGCTACACGGAGGATCTGATACGAGGTTTGAGCTTCAGGATTTACCAGTTAGCCGAGGCGGAGAGGTGTCAAGATGTCGGAGAGTCGCGAGACTTGGAAGACTCGCAAGACCCAGAAAGTTCGCAGGATGCCCGGGAGTTGAACGTGGGCCAAATAGGAGAAAGCTCCGAAGTGTTGCTCCAAAAGAAGCTTTTGGTCGTGCTTCGTGCGTACTTATGTGACCCAGCCAGGCTAACCACCGTCCAGCGCCGGCTTATCGACGCCAATATCGTACGGAGAAACCGCCTTATCCATGCCGGCAGCGCGAGTAAGACGTCATCCCATGCACCGAAGGGGCGAACCGAACCCACGCCAAAGATCCAGCCCTTAAACAAGAGTATAGCCCAGCGGAGCTCTTTGATGGCTGAAAACGTCACCTCAAGTTCGTATAATCTAGTGTCATCTACGACATCACGGCCTGTCACGCAGTCTAATCAGGGCTCCCAGGCCACCAAGAGCTTTGTGGCGCAGCCTGCTACGGCTCTCGAGTCGAGGTTCAGCATTACAGGCGCCCTGACACCTGCGGTCCGAAGCACGGCCAGGTCGGCGGGCACCAAGATGTCGGCTCGGGTGGGACATCTGGACTATCCAAGTTGCCCCATAAAGGGGGACGGCCCATTCCCCTGCGACTACTGCCCTATGATTCTGCCGCAAGAATACAGAGAGAAAGAGAAGTGGCGGTAGGTGATACTTCCTTTTTCTTTTCTTTCTTCACTGACTCATTGCCTCTATTAATCTCACTCTTTCAATTATAACTTCCCCGCCTTTCTGTAATACGCATGAACTTCCATTCTCTCTTGCATCTGTGTGACATTTCTCATCGGATTCTAACGCGTCTCAGTGGCCACGTGGCGCAAGACCTTTGCGGATATGTCTGCGTCTTCGAAGACTGCGAGTCCCCCGAGGATATGTTTGCCTCCACGTATGAATGGATGTCGCACATGGCGCGGTCCCACTCCGAGGTCGAATGGGTGTGCCCCCTGTGCGCCAATCACCGCTTCCCTGCAGACGATACCCAAGCCGCGTCCTTCCCCGTCCCCTCGCAGCTTCAGGACCACATCTTGGCCTGCCATCCCGCCATCGATGCCGACGGAGGCCTGGCTGAGCTGGAGCTAGTGGTCAGCGCAGGCCAGCGGGCCGTGGGTATCCGCAAGGTCCGTTGCCCGCTCTGCCGGCCCGGCCTCGTGACCAGCGAGGAAGATATCGACGGCTCCGTCGTGTCTCCCCTCCCGGTGGGCCAAGCGGCGGGGCTGGTGCAGCTGGAGGAAGACCAGCATATTGCCACTCACATTCACGAGTTCGCGCTGCACGGTTTCCCATCGGCGGACGGCGAGGAGCTACCAGAGGAAGCGAGGGAGTCCGTTCCGTCTGAGCCAAGCACCCGTGTAGACATGAACATCGAACGGCTGCGGAGACCCAAAGGTTCGTTCCAAGGTCAAGCGTTCGCGTACACCATAGAGGACACACAAGACGCGATAGAAGAGCTGAACGCCACATTTCTGCAGATGCAGGCGTCTGACTGGATACAAGCTGAGAGCTCTGTGCTGCTCGGTTTCATGGGGGCAAGATTGGACAATCTTATTCCCAGTCTCCAACTGGCACAGAGGGAAGTGGATCTTGACGGCTTTGCGTGGGAGCTGAATGAGTGCCAAATCTTGGTTTCCCAGCTGAGCGACATATCGCCGAACTCGGACAAGGAAGGGTCACAGGTCATAGAGCTGCTGGAAGAGTTAGACGAGAAACTGCGGCAGCTGACTTCCTTGTGCGAGACTGGTCGACAGCGTGAAGGACAGCAACTGCCTCCTCAAGACTTGCCTTTCGACCGGAAGAAATTATCACAAGACAAAGGTGGCTCTGAAGATACCGATCGTCTCGTCAAGTTCCGTCCATCACAGGTTCCTCGCCCGACCTTCGTCGACCACTTGGGGCACACAGTCATGGCATCCACCGATGGCAGATGCAAAACCTACCACGTTGTGCCTCGCTTCGATCTTGCGGCCGAGGGAGGCCAACTATTTTTAGGAGGGGTCTATCAAGATCTCAATATTCTAAAGCCGGCGATAAATCGCCGTGAAATGCATCGTTTGCCTATCCCTGAGGATCTGCTTTACCCCAGTGTTTCACAGAAGGGCTTTCGGGAAACACGAGCCAGCATCCGTGAGGGTAGCTTCGACGCCTGGGTAAAGATACTCGGTTGTCTTGGTGTGGGAAGTACTGGAGGCTCCGCTACAATCGCGGGGTCTCGGGACAATGAGGATACGGTAGCCTGCGAGGAGATAGAAACGACCTACTTTGATCCCGATGACTCCTTTGTCCTGAACAGCTTCAACATCGATCCTGTTAAAAGGTACCTTGAAGGATCTCGACACCGGACTGCCACTCTTTACATTGTCACCGGTATCAAGATAGCCAAAGGACTAGACTACAACAAGTCGAACAACACTCGAGGTCAAATTGGCGCTCAGGTCGCCATCGATGGCGCACATAGCGGGGTTGCCGAAGCTTCTACTGCTGCGAATCTAAGCGGTGAGAATGATCACAACCTCGAGTTTGCTGTTGCGAGTGACATTATCATTGGTTTCAGAGTGAACAAGTTTCGCTGCATCCGCCGGGTTGGTTTTGGAAAGAAAGACCGAAAGGTCAAAGACGATGGGGTTCTGACAGGGGCAATGATGGCGAACGACAACGACAATGTTCGACAAGAATACATAGAAGTAGAAGCGTTGGCAATGGGGGACGAAGATTCCGCTATCCCTACTACCGCAAGTGATCAGTCCGAACGCTGCGTCGTCCCTGATTCCCTCAAGCAAATGGCTGGTCTTGTTTGACGAGTGTGATCATCAGGCAGGCAGTGGGCAATGATGAGACTTGCAAGATGGCGGATCCTAGATGTTTGGATGCCGGGATTTCCTTTCTTTCTCAAGCTAAGCATTTGACCAGGATCTCTGTTCCTACTTCAAGTATTTGGTTCCTGAATGTTTCCTTATTTCCTTACTTCAAATTCCAGTTCTTCGTCTTGGAGCAATGTCTTTCCTTTCATAGTCACACTCGCTCAGATCTACAGGCTTATTTACTACTAGTTTGGATGTATGTTCAAATAGAGTTAAGCAGTTACCCCAACACCTGTTTCCCATGGCTAATGTCACATGATGTTGTAATGATCGAGGTAGGAGCGAAAATCAGACTGTCTTCAAGAAGACTACATTAGAAAAGTACGACATGCTTGAGGAGCAATAGGCGGGGAGATACTTTTCAGCCCTTTCAGCCTAGTTCCAAGTCGTCTGTGTTTTGGAGCAAGATTCAACTTCAGACGACTTGGGCATTGTGGTTGAGTGAGAGTCTGAGAGAGGTGATTCCCTTGTCAACTGCGAAGCTTTTGGGAAGCATTTTGATCCCGCTTAGCTAACCTGGGGACTGTGACTACACAGTTCAGACAGAGGTATCCTTTCGACTTCATTCGTCGTTAGAGACAAGAGAGCGCGTATGTAGAGCATAATGTAGGCTCGGTGCACGGATCAAGGATACGCTGCGATTTACCGGGAACGCGGCCGTTTAGCTTTGGTAGCACTGACAGTGTAGCCCACCCTCTGAGCGTCAGATTTTCCCTTAAGCGACCGAAGATCATGAGTCGTGAAACCTAGTGTTTGCGATTTCCATAAGAGGTTCCTGCTAAGATCAAATAGGCGTTACGCGTCTGCGTCTGCTTATGTCCATGCTGGGCGGGTTTGACTGCTAGGGCTGAAACTGATGTTCGGGGTTGTACTGGGTGTTACTGGGCGATAAGGTACTGAGTGGTGCTAGGTGGTACTGGATGGCATTCTCGTGGTTTATCAGATGGGGCGTGCAAGGTGTCATCTGATAATTCTCTGTCAAAACTCTGTCGGGAAGTGGAGTTAATATTCATGGGTTAAGGAGAGTTTTTTGGGAGGGGAAATTAGCAGGGCGATTTGGATGGTACTATCGTGGCTCGATGAAGGAATGGATGGGGGTGTTACGATTGTCCATTCTCGGTCTGGACTCTTGGCCGGGTTAATTATGAGCTGGATGAGACGTGTGTGAGTGTGGTGAATTTAAAGTGAGTTTGCTTAGTGGCTGACGTGACGCGTCCGCCATCCTTAGCTGTAGCTCATACTAGCTCGTGGTTCATATCCGTACAGATCTGTCTTGATAGGAACAGCGTATCCGTCCGTATAGCCATGGGTATTGAATTTATTGATGATTGATCGACTCGTTAATCGAGAGGAGTACGTAAAAGAGGAGCAAAAGGGGTGATTTGAACGTTGGATCGCCGCAGGCAAGTGGGCCCGGTATCATATGGGAGGCCCCTTTTGCAATTAATTTTGCAAGTGTCCGTATGGAGTATCTGTACGGATACACTATGAACACAGAAAGACAAAAGAGGGAAATACTCGCCAATGAGAGAAACCTGGCACTGGCTGGGAGGTGAGCGCAGGTGAAGGAGTCGCCTTCACCTGCCTCACCGGGATGTTGCGTAAAAAAAGGGCAGGAATGCAGGCCGTAGAACCGGCCGCGGGTCCGCTTACCCCCGGGGAGTTCCATTCCCCCTTGACCCTTGATCCTTTACCTTAATTTTCCCCCTTCACCCTTCCTTCACCTTGTTCCTTGGTAAATTTCCCCTCCACACCAACCACACCACACCACCCACGTCCACGTCCACTTCCACCACGTCCAGTCCACACCTTTTTCACTGCCACCACTGCCACCACCAAATGGCACCCAAAAAGATGATGGAATCTGCCGGCAGCGCTTTTTAAGTGGATTACAAATCGACTGTTGGCTGCAGCCCAGCGACACACCCACGGCTCACTCAGCAATTCACCACTCATTTTCGCCCACTCACGCACTCACTCACTCACTCACTAACTCTGAGTTTGAGAACTCACTGCCCATCGGTCACTTGCGCATCCGACCTCCGACCTCTGGTGCTTCTTTTTTTCCCTTTTCTGTATCCATCCATCCGTACGGTGACCAACCTCGAGTATTCGTAATCTGCACGAAATACACGCACGCGCAGTTGACTGACTGGACGGGGCCAGCGACCGACACCAAAGGACGCTCGCGAGCTCACCATCTTTGAATGAGAGCGCCCATTTGATACCCCCCCGTCTATCTGTCCCTTTCAGCCTTTCAGCATCCAAATCATCGCTCGTTGCATGCGCGAAAGCAGCAACCACCATAGCCCACCATGTTTTCACGCAACAAAGACCTCTCCCACATGTCCTCCTTCTCCAATATCCGGTCGCGCTTCAAAAACAGCATGTCGTCCTCGGCCAAGATCCGCAGTTCCGAGGGCTGCTGGACTTGTCGCCTGCGCCGCAAAAAGTGCGACGAGGCTCGGCCCGTCTGCGAGGGGTGCGCCCAGCTCGAGATCAACTGTTTCTACAGCGAGACGAAACCGGACTGGATGGACGGCGGCGAGCGACAAAAGGAGATGGCCGATCAGCTCAAGAAGCAGGTCAAGATTCAGGCCAACAACCGCCGCGAGCGAAAGTACCTGCAGGGCCTCGACGTAGAGGGAGGCGGAGTTAGCGGCGGAGGAGGAGGAGGCGGGCGCGGATCCGAGGATGGCGATCATGTTCCTCCCGTCCCGGCGCTGAGTGCCGACGACGGCTCATCAAAGGCCAACGACTCCAACAGTCCGTCCACCGTGAACGACACCCCCGGCGACTCATCCTCTAGTCCGCCCTTCCAGATGAACTCGGTAAAGTCCTCCATTCATGAAATCGTTCCCGGCGCATCACCAAATCAAATGCGCCAGCATACCCCGGAATGGAACAATCACTCCAGCCCAGTATCCGCGGCACATCACCAACACCAGCAGCAACAACAGCAATATCAACAACAACAACACCAAAAACCCCAGTCCGACTTCGCCGCCGGCACCGGCATGGGCTCCTCCTCGGCCTCCGTCCAGCAAAACTCATCACCGCCCTTCGCCGACGACTCTAACCTAAGCTTCATCATGATCTACCTCGACTACGTCTTCCCCTTCCTCTTCCCCTTCTACAAGCCGGCCCTTCTCGAAGGCGGCCGCGGCTGGCTCCTCAACGTCCTCAACCACAACAAGGCTCTTTACCACACCGCCCTCAGTCTCTCCTCTCACTTCTTCGGCGTCGTCCTCGACAGCGCCCAGGTCGAGCACGCCCCCTGCCGCATGAAGTCCGTCGCCAGCCTCCGCCACCAGATGCACCTCGCCCTCCGCGAGCTCCGAGCCGACATGACCCGCATCAACGAGCCCGGCCCCAACGGCGTGCCCCGCGACCCCCAGGACCAACTTCAGCAGAGCTGCCGCGTCCTCGAGAGCATCGTTCAGCTCCTCATCTTCGACGTCACCTTGGCCACGACGGACCACTGGCACATGCATCTCGACGCCGCAACCATCATCTTCCAACAGATCCTCCCACAACCAGACCGCTGGGACCCGACAATGAACAGCATGGCCATCCCCCTCCTCCAAGGCGTCAACTTCCCGCCCGGCTCCCATAAGCCCTGGTCCTCCGACCAAGCCGCCCTCCGCTTCTTCACCGCGTCCCTCCTCTACTTCGACATCATCTCCGCCACGGCCCTCGAGCGCCCGCCCCGCCTCCAGCGCTACCACCGCCACCTCCTCTCCCCGCGCAAAGAGACCGCCAACGCCTGCGCCGAAGTCGAGCCTCGGCTGCGGCTCGAAGAGTACTTTGGCTGCCAATCCTGGGTCCTCCAAATTATCGGCGAAATCGCCTCCCTCGATGCCTGGAAGAAGGAAACCCGCCGCGCAGGATCCCTCTCCATGACGCACCTCGTCTCCCGCGCCGGATGCCTCGAGCTCGCCCTCCGCGAAGGGATAGCATGTCTCGACAACGCTTGCCCGCAACTCATGGGCTCCCCCAATTGCGCCGAAGAAATGGCCTGCCGTGCCGGCTCTTGCTCCGCCATGGACGCCGAAGATGCTGCCGCCCCGCCGCCGCACCCGACGCACGTCGACACCACTAGACTCCCGCCCGACCCCTTGACGCTCTACCAATCCCAACAAACCCGCGACGCAACAGACGCAGCCCGCATCCACACCAAAATCTGGGCCTACGCGGCGTTAACCTACCTCTCGACCGTCGTGTCAGGGTGGCAACCCTCCTGCCCGGAAACAGCCTCCAGCGTAGCCATCACCATTGACCTGCTCAACTCGCTCCACAGCCCCGTGTGCCTGCGCACCGTCGTCTGGCCCTTTTGCGTCATCGGCTGCCTGGCGGACCCCTGCCAGGAGCACATGTTCCGCGAAATGGTCGGCAAGATGGGTGCGCTCGAGGTGTTTGGGTCCATTAAAGCTGCCCTGGGTGTCATGGAGAACGTGTGGGCAAAGAGGGAGACTATTGACGAGAGTTGGGATATCACAGCATGTTTCAAGGTTCTTGGGCATGCAGTGCTCTTGACTTGAGAGGTCCGGAAACGTTCTTGACCCTTGGAACTTCTTTGCTCTAGTTTACGATTCTGCTGGATCGGCACGCGGCTTTGGGGATGTTTCGACGACTAATCATAGGACAAACCGGTCTCACTGCCAGGGAAACTCGATCTCACGATATCACCAAAGAAAGTAACTCGCCATTTCCCAGTTATTTTTCTTTTATTATCAGTGGTCCCAATCCGAAAAAAACGCCATTGTGTTTTTGCTTTTCCCCCAAAACAGCAGAAGAGACCGAATCTATCCAGTAGACATTACCCTCGTCGACCAAAGCGACGTCTTCCCAGCAAAACCATCCAAAGACCCAAGCCGTGGAACACAATCTCTCTATTACCAGCAGAGCCACAAGAAATCAAAACCTCCAAGGAAACCCATACCAGGGGCAAGGAACCAGTGCTACTTAGCATAGTTCATGCCTTTCTCCGAGAAGCAGCCCGCTTCTGCTGCTCCAACAACCCCAAATCCCACCACCCGTCAATAAACTCCATAATCGTCTTGCGCTTTGATTTCCCCCGGCCAAGACTCTTGCCGTGGACAAGGTGCTCCACCGGCGTCATCGGCGACCGCACTCCAGCAGAAGACGGGGATGGAGAGAGCGGCGGCGCGGGGGAGACAATCAACTCGGGTAAAACGGGCATCGGGTGAACGGGCTGTCTCTGCTCGACAATCTGCACGCGCTTGTGCTGCACTTGGGCCGTGGTAGGGGGCATCTGCATCTGTCTTTGCGTCGACATTGGCATCGGCGGGGGTGGAAACCACGCGGTCGTCCGGGTGTGTTGGGAGGCGGGAGGCGGCACAGCGACATGATGGGCATCATCCGAGTCCGAACCCGAAGAATAGTCGCTGTCCCATCGCTTCTCCCGCGCCAACACCGCGGCGGTGCCAAGGCTCTTCTTGCTGTTGCTGAAGTAGCAACCCCGTACTTCTCTTGTTGGAGGAGGCGGGAAAGAAGGAGCGTAGCCAGCACCACCACCACCACCACCGACTGCCACCCTACCACGGGCGCACCCTCAACCCTCAATATCCTTCACGCCCGCAGGCGCAAGCTTCACCCTGCGCCAGAGGCAGACAGTCGTGACAGCGCTGAACGCAAACAGCACGCAGAGCGCAATCGACAGACCCCACACGGCCTTGATGGCGTAGCACGTGCCCTGGTCGGCGCCGACCCAGATGAAGTAGTTGAGCGCGGAGCCCGTGTTGATGTTGGCCGTCACAGAAGCCATGAAGTTGGCGGTGCTGCCGGAAGACTTGGGCAGGGCGGCGCAGTCTAGGTAGGAGAGGGGTTTGCCGAGGAGGCAGGCGACGACGATGACGGCGATCAACAGGAAAGTGTCTGCGCCGGCCGCGAGGAGAAGGGGGAGCATGTTGTCGTAGTAGAGGATGTAGGTGATTGAGATGTAGAGGGTTGCGATGCAGGACTAGTGGAGGGGGTGAGAGTTAGCTATCGTTCTTCCAATCTACGAGTCTATGATGAATCTACATGAAGGGAGTAATCACTTACAATAACGAGCGTGCCGATCAAGACGGAAGGCGGAACGGCATCAGCACCGTTAATCTCCGAAATAAAGTTGGACACCATGCCGATGATGGACACCAGCGAGACGAACTGCATGGCGCGCATGGCGGTGAAGGTGTGCCCGAGGGCGCCGAGACGAGGAGCGGAACCCATTGTGTAGTTTCTGTTGTGCTTCTTCCGGGCGGCGAAGTCGCGGGCCAGGGAGACGGGTGTGACGAGGGTGAGCTTCGGGCGCGGTGCGTGGAAGTGGAGCGCCGTGCGGACGGGGAATTTCCGGGGCGGGAAGGGGATGCTTGCGGTTGGGGACGACGGGAGGGAGGTTGAGGAAGGAATTTTGGACGAGGTGTCGTAAGTCGCTTGGTTTAGCGACTTGTATTGGTTCTGAAAAGACGAAGAGTAAAGCGTGGATAGAATGAGACTCTGTGGAAAAAGAGAGTTGTAAAAGGTAGTTCGATGAATCGATAGAGAAAGTAAGCTTCGTTCAAGATCGTGTGTTTTCGTTTCGTTTCCGTAGATTTGTCGTGACCTAGAAAGGAAATTCGGGAAATGCGAAATGAAATTCGAGTCTTGACCGAGATAGATAGATGAGAGATAGATAGAGAGAGAGATGAGACCCAAACTTGACCAAGGAAATTGACCTAGGAAATAAGGAAAAGAGAGAGAAAAAAAGGAAAAAGACGGAAGATTGTTGTAAAGACTTGTGTTTGTGATGTTGATGAGGAACAGAAAGAAAACTCCAGACGAAGAGACGGATGAGATCAATCGTCTTTATACATCTTACATCTACAAAAAAAAAAGAGCAACATCTTCATACAGCCCAGGAACCAGCCCTGTGGTTCATCTGGCCCAGCAAATGGTACCTGAGGTTGCCTTGCATTGTTGTTGTGTTGCTAATTCGAGCTCTCGCGGTCTGGGCCTCTAGACATCAACTCTCAAGCCCATGAACGTCAAGATACGGCAAGGTACCTTACGGTTCCTGCATGAGATACGTCAGTTGCCGTACCTCTGTGCAAAGCAGTGAGTGAGTGGTTCGCCCTAGATCCTTGGAGGCTCCCCCATCCTGGACGGCACGACCTTCGGCTAGGTATGATGAGCCGCTGGGTTAGGCCAATCATCGTCAACGGCCGGGGTTGCGGTGCGGCGCTTAACGGCGGTGGAGTTCCGGAGAGGTTGGACAAGCGACGCGGGTACGAATTTACGACGGGGCCACACGGCTCCGGGAAATTGGAGGCTCTTGGACATGCAGCACCAGGCTCTTTTTCTTTTCTGACATCTCTAATCAAAGCTGTGGAGAAGAAAATAGGCGCGTCCAATGGCTGGTTGTCATCGACCCAGGTCCTGGACGCTGGTATTGGATGGCTGCGCGCCTGTTTTGAATCGAGCTAGATGGACATGATTGGATCTGCTTGATCCCGGGGTGCTCACCCAAGGTAGCTTCCACCTTGGCCTCGACCTGGTGGGTCTCTATGCCTTTTCTGCATCTTGAACTGATAATCGAACAGACCACTAAACGCGACCACGGTGGGACGACGATGGCGGAGGCTGAGGCGCCTGTTCATACGAGCTAGTCCAGGTCCCAAAGACATGCAGGTACCGGACCTGAAACCAGGTCTGGCGGTTGCTGGCCCAGGCCGCATACCTTGGCTCCATGATGCTTTATTGTTGAGGCCCGTACAGGTCTTGTTCCTGGGCCTCTGTTGGTTTGACGCGTCCTATATGCGCGAGGATCTCTGTACTGATCCTTGCGCCTCTTGAACCTCTTGAGCCTCCCACAGCCGCGGGACGACAGTGGTTGGCCCGCGGACGGTCGGTCCGCTGATGATCGACTTGGCATCAGTCGGGTCCCTGTACAAAAGAGTTCGCGATAGAGTGCTCGACACGGTCTGGACCTTGTTCAATTGTCTCTTCACAAGTTCACAGTAAAGACGGCTTGCTTCGGATTGTGGGCGCATGAGGAGGTCGCGCTATCGGCCGCAGAGGGCTGTGAGTCCTGCAAATGTCATGCCCTGACGATCAGGATATGCGTAGGCATGAAGGTCGCCTCATCAAGACGCCCAGACGCACGAAGGCAGCTGTCAAGCCCGTGAGAATGATGTCACATTGCACGAGGTGGAAAGACTCTTGAGGACACAAGTATTGAATGTGGTTCGCTTGAAATTTCAGTATATGGTTCATGTGTTGCAGTCTTCTTTTGCCTGCCGATACGCCTAGGTAAGAAAGCCTATCAGCACACGTCTTCTCTCGCCTTACCATCACCGCGGCGGCCTCTTTCTTGCTTTGCTGCGTGGCCAGTGATGCTGTAAGGTTGAATGGGCTCCGTCTTTTCCACGCCAGTTCTTCGTCTCCGCGTCTTTATATCATTATGGTAGGCTTAACCAAGCAAATCGTCCAGGCCGTGGTTTCCGCCGGTGGAGGAGGAGTTTCCAGCAGGCTTCGGTGTCGACGCCGCAGCAGGGGCACCCCAAATTCCGGCACTGCTCTTCTCCTTCGCAAGCTGTCCCAAAGCCGGGCCAGCGGTAGGTGTGCTCGTCTTCTTCACACCAGAGCTAGCCTGTGACCACAAGGCACCAAACGCGTCACCACCCGCAGCTGCCGGCTTAGCAGCAGCTGAAGCTGGCTTCGACGCCGCCGAAGCACCAGGAGTAGATGCGAAAGAGCCACCCGTAGCCTGCGGGACCGCAGTCTGAACTGAGCCGAAGTAGTTGGGCCCTGAAGGCTGGTATCCAGTAGGCTTGATCTGTGCCGCTGGAGAAGCGACGGCGGGGGTGCTGAAAGCTGAGTAGTTGGCGCTCGGGGCGGGTGACATGGAAGACATGCTGACCATGTTGCCAATGTTGGCTTGTTGAGGTGCAGAGACCGGCTGGGGAGCGGCGAAGGTCGTGGCAGAGTTGGCTGTCATGACGGGAGGGGACATGGGAGTTGCTGCTGCGGGAGCCGACGGCGCGGACTGGAAGTCGTCAAAGTCATCGTCGTCGTTGGCAGCCGCCGGAGCGGCAGACAGGGAGGCAAAGCCGGAGCCGTTGGATGGGGGCGGGGCAACGGGGGCTGGCATGGAAGACGGCGCAGGGTCGTCAAAGGAGAAGAGATCGACTTCGGGCTCCTTCTTCTTGGGTGGCTCAGCCTTGGGAGCGGGAGCGGCAGCCCGCTCTGGTCTCTTAGACCGAGACGAGGAGGAACTGGCAGCTGGACGAGTGTCATCAAACTCATCGTACTCCTCAAACTTGTCGCCGTGTGACTGGGTTTTGCCGTAATCGTTGCTCTCTTCTCCGCCGAATCCACCGCCGTCACCGTAGACGCCTCCGGAGTAGCCACCGTAGCCTCCGGTCTCGCTTCCGAAGCCTCCATAGCGACTGCCGCTCCCGCTTGAGAAACCACCGCCCATGCCCATTCCACCCTCAACACCGGTGTACTTGTTCTTGGTGGCCCGCGCCTTCTTGCGCTCGGTTCGGATGCGCTCGACGTCGCCGAGAAGTTCGGCCAATTCCTTGGCACGGTTGCGAACGTTGATTCCTTGGTCCTTTCCGTTCTGGTCGATATAGTGGAATTGGCGAAGCATCTTGAGCAGTGTAATGTGGCCGCGGGCATCGTCGATGACTCGTTCGGAGCCGTGCTTGATGAGGAATTCGAGAAGCTGAAGAGCCTTGTAGATTTGCCGCCACTCTTCGGCGGACTTTTCTGTGAACCGACGGTAAATCATGGGCATGATCTCGTTAAGAGTAGCACTGGTGGTACATCAGTATTGTTGGTTTATCGATATCGGTTCGGGGGAGATTACTAGTTGAAGGTGCCGTTGGCAATCTCTTGCATCAGTGATGAGGACGCGCCCCAAGGTTCGTTGTTGGTAGCCTCTCGGACCTATCACTTGTTAGACGGACTGGAGTCTGCCGTCAGAGTGGTTATTTGATGGACGAACCTTGGACTCCATTTCCGTGTAATTCATAACGGCTATGCGCAATTAGCATGCGATTGACAATCGGTTGGGCTGGAGGGCTGGTGATTACCATTCTGGACCTTTCTGACGCCGGCCTTGACGTCGTACAGGGTCATGTTGGAGACCGTGTCCTTGAGGTTGTTCCAATCCATTTTGGCGGTTTCGACGGGGTGAAGATGGGAGGGATTCGATAAACGGCAAGCAAGAAGCCCAAAGGCACAGGTGAAGGTGGTAAACTCGAAGACGCGATGCTCCTGTGATTCTTTGTCGACGTTTCAAAGAGAAGCGCAATCCAGCGACCTGGCCACCCTGGAACTTTCAGGCCCAGGCTCAGTCAGTCAGGTCAATCGGTCTCGGGCAGTGCGGCGGCAGGGGGTACGTACCGCGTGGATGAGATAAGATTGGCTCCGTATGAGGGAAAGGAGATGTGGGGAGGGATGATGCCGAGTCACGTGCTGTACCTCTGGCAACTCTCTGGAATTTGGAAAGCGTCAGCGGGCAGCGGGAGAGGACGGGAGGAAAGAGCTTCCCTAGGTGGTACGTACTACTGACCTGATGTACGTAGTAAGGTACCTTACCTTACCTCAACGCCTCGATCAGCTCACAGCTTGACTCGGAACAGCTACTGTTTCTCCATGAGATATTCTCAGAAACCACCAATTGATTGAAGCTGCTTGAGTTTCAGCTAGTCATACTCCTGGAGCACGAATGATTTATCTCAAGGTAACTGTAGATAGTTTTTTAATCGTGTTCAAATTGGATGAATAAAAATACCTACCTTGACCTTTGGCCATGAGCTCCGACAGCTGTCCATCTCCAACTGACAGACGTGGGTGCCCGTGCTCCAATTCCCAATGGACGACAACCTTGAGTCGGACGTGTGTTCCTCAGGTTGCTCTCGCGCCGTGCCGTGACCATCCGCCCCCTTTGGGAAGTCCCTGACCTCACCAAAACTTTTTTCTCCTGAGAAGACAGCAAAGATTCAATTCTTCTCTCATCAGCGACTTTCATCAACCTTTGTGTATCAACAAAACTTCATCTCACTTCTCTTACTCTGTACCTGTACCAACACTTAGACTGTGTAATCCTGCTCTTTGAGGTGTGTAAAACGAGTTCTTTTCGTCATACTCCCGTTCTCTCTACATCACAGCACAAGCTTCCCTCTCCCCTTAGCAAACTACCCATCATCCACCTTACCTTACCTACCTTGCCCATTCCCACATGAAAGTCGACGGAGCTACCAGAGCTGGTTGTGCGGCCAGTGCGGTTCTCATGCAAGTCAATTGGGCTGTCAGAATGGACGGCAAAGCTTTGCCATCCAGTCTCTGCAGCTTGATATGCTGCCACATGAGCCATTGAGCCTACCTGGCATCTTGAGCATAGCTCCACGCACGAGCACAGGCCTGGACTTCTCTCGTATGGCAACACTGGCAACAGCCTTGAGACTCGAGAGCACCAGCCTGCGGTGACGCCGCGGCTGTGGATGATGCCATAGTTCATGCCGGAGAGACAGGATGGCTTTATTGGCCCTCGGCCGTTGCATGATTTGATGCTCGTCGATGGCCGATGCATTGCCTTTCCTTTCCGGCTTGTCACGTCACGTCGCTTGAATCGTCCACCGCCGGTCCGCCGCCGTCGCCGCTGTTGTACCATCCACCCGTCCATTCAAGCTACCACCCCCCCCGCTCCCAGTGGACGCAAGATTCCACGAGCTTCCGAAGGGTTGCCAAGGGACAACGTGGGCCAGTGGGGGACGTTGACTTGGCCATGGCCGACAGCCAGACAAACGACTCCATCCAGCTGTGCCAGCTTGCTGTCGTTGCCCCCCTCCCCAGGGTACCTCCCTTGTCGCTCCAATGGCCAGCGGCCTCGGGGTTTTGACGTGCATTCGTCTGTCCTGCCCGCGCCGCACCGTGGGTTACCAATGACTCTCCCTCCTGTTCGCT